TCATCTACTTTTCGTTTCCGACAAAATTTATCGGTGATTTCTGATTTTGTTATAAACTCCACATCGTCTGAAGAAATTTGCGGTTCATGACTCAGATATGGATCAAGCCAACACATCTCATTATACAATTCCCAGGTCACTTCGGGTTTTCTTTCTGATCCAGATGGCTGGTATTTGCGTTTTTTTGCTTTTTCTCCTTTGAATTTTTTTACTAAATACAGCCATGTCGCTTCAATCTCTTTTTCTATTATTGATTAATGAATATTATATATACATATATATATTTTTTTATTTAAAATAAAGATTTATAGTGTATGAATTTCACCTGTAATGTGCACTTCGTATAGTTGATAAATCGCTTGGGAAATAGTTTCGAAAACTTGTGTTCGTTGCGATCTAAATTCAGTATAGTATTTATCATTCGACTTATCGTAAATAAAATTATTTGGTTTCACGATTTGTATGATAACTTCATCAAGTAGTATATCTTTTTCAGTGTTTCCACTCATTTTTTATTTATGGCAAATTGAATCGAAGAACTATTGTCAATTTGAGGTTATCGGAACTGCTTTGCTACGCATTCATTTTCATAAATATCTAAAATTAAGACTAATGTATTTGTTACTAAATACTTAAAACTAATATACCATTTGTTTTTTTGTTTTTTTCAAGTTTCTACACAATATGGAGGAGTCAATCGATCAGAATCAATCGGAATTTATTTCTTTATAAAAACTGCCTTCTTATTTCTATTTTGTTAATATAGATTATTTATCTTTAAATATAATTATTTTGCCAGGGAACAGCTCCCTCATTGCTGAAATATTCTGCCAAGTTTTGCCGAATAAAAATAGGGTTTCGCATAACATTCTGATTAATTTGCCTATCTAAGTGTCTAAAATCGTCATCAACGTTGATTACATTTTTCGTAATTAAAAAATTATGTAACACTAAACAAGCGCTTATAATTAATTTATTCTTATCTAAATTATGAGCTAAAGCACTATTCAATAACTGAAATTTTGCACAAAGTATTCCAAATGCACGTTCTATAGTGAATCTGGCTCGGCTCAATCTATAATTAAAAATTCTTTCTTGATTTGACTGCAGCAATCTTCTATTGTACGGTTTCATCAAGTTAAATCCCAAACCAAAAATCTCGTCAGCGACTATTACGAAAGGTGATGATCTGTCACTGTTAGGCAACTTTGTTGGAGCAGGTAAGTTCAATTCATTGTTCAAAATTTTGTTATAAAAATTAGTATTTTGAAAGACACTGGAGTCGCTGAACGAACCTACAACATAAAGAAATTATTACATATAAATTAATTAAATTACTCTGTCTTTATTGTTTTAAAAAATTTATTCTTACCACCATCACCAAGGGTGAACCAAACAAATCTACTTTGTGCATCGCTGATTGCTATCAAAACTAAACTATGAAATTTTTTGTAGTTATAAAAAACACTTCCAGCATGAGCTGGTCTTTTTATTCGCATGTGCTTCCCGTCTAGAGCTCCAACACAATTCGGAAAATTCCATCTGTCTTCAAATTCCTGGGCAATACGTAACCAATCCCGTTCGTTGGGAAATTTCACGTAAATTGGCAGCAGAACTGAAGTAATAACGTAGCACGTTTCGTGTATGATTTTAAAAAATGTAGCTTTTCCAATTCGGTAGTGCGCGCAATAAGTTAAAGCATTTCCTCCTTGAACGAAATAACTGAAATTTTAATAAAAATTAATATTTATTTTTATTATGAGATGAAAATACTTGACATAATTGTATATAAATAGTTACTGTATTGTTATAGCCAGTCGAATATATGCAGAAATTGGCTCTCTAATATGATACTGCTTCTGCAACTGATCAGCAATTAACGTATACAACTCTTGAAAATTGCCTGGTGTCATCTTAAATTGATTTGTAAACTCTTCGTGATCATTGATTTGTAAATATTGGCATACTGTAGCAAATGCTCCTATAATATTCCTTATTCTCGGTACGATATGTGGCTTCACCCACCATCTCCGCAAGGCCTTCTTCTTTTTTTTTATAACTTTTAATGTTTTAAGCGAAACAAGTATAACCTGCATTAATGTCCAAATTCTCATAACTTTTCGTTCATCTAGTCTCATAATTAAAATCTGTAAAAATAAAAATATTTATTATAAATTCAGCGAATAAACACAAAGTTTAGAATAAAAAATAATTGTATATAACTTTTTTATGAAAAATAATGAGTAAAAATATATAGCGTATGCAATGCTCAGTTGTACCGCCTATGTTGCACGTTAATGGGTTATGATCCAATGAAAAGCCGAGATTGGTGATTTTATTTTCTTTGTTTCAGGACGCGTGCATGCCCACTACAGTGTGCATTGAACCTTCATTGTGTCAAGGCAGTTTTTATAAAGAAATAAATTCCGATTGATTCTGACCGAAAGTATTCTTTAATAATGAATAACCTATCTGTGAAAAATGTTTTACATTCAAAGCCATTTGAAGAAGAAAAACTTAACGTGAAAATGAAATTCACCATTCAGTACATCATGCAAAATGATTTTCGTCGCTACGTACCAGTAGCTTTTCGTGTTGTCAATCTCAATTTGGAAAATATGAGAAGTCATAATTTCATTCTGTGGTTTTCCAACGAGAATGAAGGTATAATTGACATTGACATCAATATGATGAGCCATAGATTAGTATTAAAAAAGATAATGCAAGAAATTAATACAATTGGAGGAAGCACATGTAGAGTCCTGGGCACGATTGAGGACGATAATCGCATATCAAATAATGCTACAACAAATAGATGGTCTTTGCATCAAAGCAATTTATACCGCAGTCTGTGGCCAACTCACCTGAATGTAATTAATGTTCCCTTGAGAAAATTGAGGGCATTCTTGAGGGAACTTAAATCGTCTTCAACTCCTATTGCGACAAAGGAGCTCGTTGAAAAATGGCATGCTGCATGTTTCACCAGTAGACACCTGTGGGATGATGCCAAAAATATTATTCGAGATGTTAGGTTGTTTTCTCACGTTTAAACATCTGATAATGATTTAACATATGATTATTAATAAATTTAAAATAATAAAATAAAACCTCTTGTAGTTGATTATTTCTAACCTATCTAACCTTTTCATGTTATGCATCTTATTGCTTGGTCTTGACACTATAAATTTTGTCGGAAACGAAAAGTAGATGATGGCGATGGCTTACAAAAAGCCATTGATGAAAGCGTGAAATTGATGAAAATAATACAAAATAATGTAGCAACTACCAAGATTGATCGAATGCCAGAAATTGAACCATTTTTAAAATTAATAATGCTCACCATGTTGTAGGTGTATGTTCCATGCATGTGGTACAGCAACTTTTTGTAGACGTTACCTTTTGGATTATTGAACATATTATTTGATGTGATCCTTTCCATTTTCAGTACTGTGGAACTGGAACAATTTGTCTCTACCTATACTAAGTACCCATTCACAGCTCAAAGAAAAAACTACTGCAGCAACTCTTGCTTGATGAGCCATGTATTCTCGAATGGCTGTCATACGATTGTAATCGCTTTCCAATAAAAACTCCTACAAAACCAAAAATTCGTTTGATTCACAATTTTTGAAAAAATTATAAATGAATTTGATCTTGATAAATACATTTATACTACCATTATCTAATCCAACAAACAGCTGTCTGGTTTCAGGACAAAAATCAAGAGAGATTGGTGCTGCAACCATGTACATGCATACGCTTGGCCAGTATTGTCCTGAGTCACGTTTCAACCAAACTCTGACAGTTCTGCAATAGTAATTAGAAAATTTATTCATAACTAAAATACAGCAAAACATTGCTTAAAGGCCAGATAGATAAAGCAATCAGTCTGAATCATCCTATCTAAGAACTTGCAGATAAAGAAAGATTGTTCAGGTGTCATACAATTATTATTTACTTATAACAAAAAGCTTGCTGTTTTACCTATAATTTAATTAAATTATATATTACATGAAAAAATAGGAGTAAAAAATATGTACAATGCAAAAAATAGTCTGAAAAAAGTCTAACAAAAGATGCAAGTGACTGTACGATTGCTATTTGCATTATAAACAATGAGTCCAATAAGAGTCGAGCTAGAAGCATGCGATGTAAATAAATTAATCGTATATACATCATATAGATATGCATCGAGTATCAGAAGCATTGCAAACACAATAGAAAAGTGAGTCTGACCTGTCGTCGCAGACGCTGATGACGCCGTCAACCCTGGGAATGATAACGGCGGCATTGACGTCGTCATTGCAACCTTCGAGCTTCGACAGAAGTATAGGCTTCTTGGAGCTGAACTTGTCCTGGTTCATCCCGGGCGCGGGCTTGATTTCGGCTGCCATTGTGATTCTCTCACCTACCACCTGCCCTCAGCTACTACTGCTACTACAACTACTACTGCTGCTGCTGCTACTACTTATCATTTGACAGTTGACGGATTTCGAAAGCCTAACTCTTCGTGCATATGACTCTAAAAAGGGATTATGAAACTTGCAATTTTATGAAAATAAAAGTAGGAATTATTTACGAATTATTATTAATTACGAACTTACCGAATGAAAATTGGAGCAGGAACATGGAGGATAGCCAGAGCATAGAGACAGCCAGACAGGAAACTTCAAACCACGGGTACTGCCACTCCATAGATGCGTTTCTCGCATTCACTATGAAACTCGCCATTGAACACGAAATTATAGAGATGGCGTGCCCATAAAAAATCTCGGCCGGCTCGGACAGGCCCTATGGAGACAGACCCTAAAAGCGAGGAAGCGAGAAGCGCGCGCTCGGCAGCCATTTTGTGCGTGAACGAAAGCAGCACGCATAAGAAGTGCTCTGAGCAAGTTGGCGCTCTCCTTCCTCCACCTCGTCGTCGGCGTAGTGGTTGTGCGACCCTCAATAGTACGCGTCTGATGTTTGCCTAGCGCGACCTAGTGCAACATCACGCTCGCTCGTCGGGCCGGTGCAATTTAATCTTTTTGGTTAGGTGTTGCCGTGTGTGTGTAGAAACTACCGCCACCGTCACCGCCACCGCAGCCGCCGCTGGTACCACCATTCGTGCGAGGAGAGCGGACGTGCGTGTGTTGTTAAAAGTAAGTAAGAAACAGCTCGCGGCGGGGCCACGATTCAATCTCGCTCCCGGATTTACCTGCTGGGCAAACCCTCGCAAGAGAGCGGTTATGCAACCTCCCGACAGCCAGCCACCTCCATCGAGACTGCGTTTCCCGGGGGATAACCTATGTTGCTATAACCTTATACATGTCAAATCCTACTTCTAGTAAAAGTTTTTAATTTGCAATTTATGTAGCCTGCGGATTTTCGCTTGTTTTCGTCTGTCTCTTTCGTGAATATGATTTCGCGACGAAGGTCGGCATCGTTATTCGCTAAGCGGCTTGCGTGTCCGTGAGGTGGCATTGGCAGATAGGCTACGTTGCTTTGTTTATATACGATGATTGTGTTTTGTCCAAGTGGTTATGTGATCGTGTTCAAACGACTTTCGACTCCTCTCGAGAAAGCGACTTTTTTTTGGCTGGCTCGTGGTATGTGCTTTGTTTTGCGGGCGCTCTAGTTTGGTATCTGATGCAAGAAAGCCCAGAAATTAACCGCGAGTGCCACGAAAATCAATAGCCTCTTGTTTTTTCCAGTGGTGACAGTGATAAAGTAGCATCTCAGCTCATCAGAATGGACGTTGCCGGTGATCTGACCCTGCAATGGGTCGAGGAAGTGGGTAATGTTGAAGAGGTAATATGCGACCTTGAAGCACAACTGGACACTCCTGTGGAAGAAGTGGTTGCAGCATGCGAAGAAGTAGAAGAGACTGTAGAGTCTGCTGTAGAAGGAAACACTTCTATGGGAGATACAGAGATTTTAATGGTTCCACAGAGTGATATTGAATCCATATATGTGATTCCGCAAGACCAGGGTCATGACTATCTCAATATACAAGTTACTGAAGAAGTCATTACTGATAATTGGGACAGATCTGGTCCTGATGATGGGTAAGTATTCTCAGACAATTGTTCTTAAGCTGAATATATGCTACTGTATATTAATTGTTTGTTTTATTTTTCAGTATGGAGGTACCAGAAACGAAAGTCTCACATGATAATTTACTAGAATATGATGATATGGAAATACCTTTACCCATTGATCAAGATTCTTATACTAATACAAGACCATACCCATGTGATTTTTGCAGTAAGAGATTTAGAAAAAAGGCTAATCTCATGAATCATATGGTTACACATCAAACGGATCGACCTCATGGTTGCAATTTATGTGGATCTAGATATGTGAGGAAGTCTGATTTAATGAACCATATGAAAATTCATGCTTATGCACCAACAACAACAGATGGATTGGATGACGATGGCTTAATAGAGGATCCTCTAGCTACTGGAGATGAAGTCAGTCATCCACTGAAAGGTAGACGTAAGAAAGTGCAAACAAATGTTCCTAGGAAGCGCAAAGCTCCTGCTGGTAACAAACGTACTATTGATGATGTAGCTAAACTGGATATGAGCAAGTAAGGTTTTTAATCTAAGATGAATTATTGATAATAATATTTTTTGACCTAACTGCCTGTTATGAACTTTTTTAGATGGACAGATCAGCTATCCACAGAACAACAAATTCCTCGTTGGCCAGTTACTGACTCATCTAAACCATATGTGTGTCAGTTTTGTGGACTTGGTTTTGCTAGGGAAAAAGCTCTAGCCTCTCATTCGAGAATACATGGTGGTGACACCCCATTCGAATGCACATCTTGTAATGAGATGTTCTGGAATGTAAATGCTCTTCAAGAGCATATGCGACTGAAGCATGGTTTGCGCTTGAGCCAGTCTGATGCAGATGATGGAGAAAATGAGCCATCTACATATGCTGGAGATGAGAGATTTGGTGAATACTTCTGTGACACCTGTGGGGTGCCATTCCACAGAATAGATCTTCTAAAACGCCATAGAAAGTATGTTTACATTTTAAATGAACTTCTACTTTTTTATATCAATATTGACATTTTTATTGTAAATATTATAGAATCCACATAAAACAAGAAGTTGACAATGTTGAGGGTTCCAGTCAACATCACGTTTGCAATGTGTGTGGTGAATGGTTTGAAGAAGCATTAGCGTTGTTAGCGCATGCTGAACTTCACGCCAGGTTATTTATTTTGTTGTGTTTATCCACTATCTTAATTTATTCATCAAATTACATCACTAATAAATGTATGTAGGTCACCTAGCCGTAGGTGTTTATTGTGCGGTGAAAGGTGTAGAGATGATGCGGAACTCGCTGAGCACGTTCGCGAATTACACGAGGAAGATGCACCGCCAAACACATGCATTTTGTGTGGAAAGACATGCAAAGACAAGCGCAGCCTATTGAAACATTCATGGATTCACAACACTGACAAAACTTTTGGCTGCACCAAGTGTGGTAAACGCTTTCACAGTAAAGCTAGATTAAGAAGGTACCTCTTCATTTGTATATTTTAATATATATAATTAAATGTAAATGGTTTTGATTAATCGTTATTACTTTAGACACATGGTGTCCCATCGAAATAAAATGGTTGCTTGCGACGAATGCGGAGAAGAATTCCCGGATGGTCGAGCTTTGGTCAGTCACAGGCATTCTCACAATAAGGAACTTGGTGGTCGCACGTTCCCATGCCGAGAGTGTGGCAAGACTTTTGGCAGTCGCAGTTCGCAACAAATACATATCCGTATTCATACCGGTGAGAGGCCTTATGGCTGTCGGTTTTGTTGGAAAGCCTTCGCGGATGGAGGCACTCTCAGGAAACACGAAAGAATACACACGGGTGAGAAACCATATGGTTGTGCCATTTGCCCTCGTGCTTTCAATCAAAGAGTAAGTGACATCGTCTATAATAAAGTTTTAAATTTTAATTAAGGGTGTGATTTTTAATACTCACTTTCATGATTAGGTTGTGCTACGTGAACACGTTCGAGCACATCATTCAGGTCCTGATCCTAAGTGCCACAACAGCTTAACGCCGTATATTTGTAAAGTTTGTAATGAAACATTGCCTTCGTCAGAGGAGTTGGTTGCTCATATTGTCGCTCACTGCGATGAGAACACAGCACTGCGGCGGCAACCGCAAGCAGGTCCGAGGAAGTATAAGCGCCGACGCAAACTTAAGCATGAGACAAATTTCACAACACGTATGAACGAGTCCTTCGATCTCCTTGATGGTCCTTCTGATTCTGATGAGAATCCCAAACGCAAACTTGGGAAAAAAACGAATCGTCGCTCAAATGTTGAAGAAGGTTACCAGAACGTGCTCAAGAGTTTCGAAAGCTCGTTGCAAAATATTAATTCGATTGTCAGTAATTCCAAGGCTTATACACCAAAAGCTAAAACCCCTAAAAAGAAGGTGAAGAAGGAGGAAAAAAAGAGTGTAACCATAGCTGGTATGGCGGATGCATCCACATCAAATCAGCCTGGAAGACCAAAAATGATCCATACGCAAAAAACGCGAGTATTGGTGGACGCTGGTACTGACGGCGTAAAAAAAGGTCAAAAAACAAAAACAATGGTAACAAGAACGCCGAAAGTTATGCCTGGTGAGCAGCAGTCACAGCAACAACAGAAGGTGTCTGGTGTTATTCCCGGTGGCGAGAGAAATAGACCGCGAACTAAAAATGTTAGTTATCACGTCGAGGGTAGACAAGCTTTATTACCCGCAACGTTTCCCAAGCCAAAGCTTGATGAACCAATACTGGAACCTGTGGAAGCCCCGTCCATCGAAATGGTCAACATAAAAATTGAACCAGAGCTGCAGAAAATTACTACAACTCCAAATCATCTAAACAGCAATGGCAGCCTCTTAGATATGAAAGATGAAAGTCCTGAGAAGGTGGTAATGGAAAAACCGTCGCCAAGAAAGCGAGGACCCGCCAAGAGAGGCAAGCGACGCACATTCCTTGGTACAAGGAAAGCCAAAGAAAAATCAATTATTGTTCCCGAAATATCAAGCAATGATCTCGAGGAGTCGACGATCAGTCAACCCGAAGAGCACCATCTACCCGAAGAAATAGAACAAGTGCAACCAACACATCTTTTCGAGTCGGTGGTCGATGGTAATAATCTCGATGTGGCTTTCGAAGCGAATGTCGTATCCGAACAAGTGGAAATGATGCAAGAGTCAATACTGCCGGATTTAGACAAAGTGAATCACATCGAAGAAATCGGTGCGAATAACAGCGTGAAATTAAGCGTAAAGGTAGAATCAGCTCCTAGCGGTTTGCTTGACGTGCACAGTCTCATTGGGTCGGTGGAGGAATCCGTGCCGGAAACCATTATACCCGACAACGTCGAGTATACTTGCGAGATGTGTTCGGCTGTGTTCTCCACGCGTGCCGAACTGCTCGTACATGTACCCATACATATTTGATTCAGCTCGCTTGTCAAGCATTTGTTCGTGGTTCTATTGAGGTTTGTTATTTAAAAGAGACAGAGATACATAATTGCAACCTGCGCGATTATCTTTTTACTTAGAAAACTTCGAGATTTTTTGCAATTTCACATGGGTACTGTTTATGAATTTAGCGGCGATTGAATATTTCCAGCGATAAATGTTTCTTTAAGAATTACTTTTCCTTCAGTATTTACACTGATCTTTGTGCAAGTACGCGAATCAGTTTAACCGAATAGATGAAAATCTTTGGACTGACAGTTTATAGGAACTTGCGGATTTTTTAATTCAGTAAATTATGATCTTGAATAGTGCTCATGTTTGATTGCATTTTCGGCACGCGAACTAAGCAGTTTCTTATCATCTAACGTCGAATTTAACTGCAATTAATTTCCTATGTATTGTTTTCGAATGTTAGTCATTCGCTTGTAGAAACATTGACCATACCCTATTTTTTCGTTCAAAAAACTTTTCTATTTCTAAAGTTTAAGTCAATTTTAATTAAAGTTGAGTCAAATAATTGTCTACTGGCAATTTTTTTCTACTTTGGCCGTATTTACGTTTTCTCCTTATTCATTCTTATCAAAGAAATGTTTCGTGCTGGCATCAAAATAATTAGGTAACGGTACGTAAAAAGGGAGAGACATAGTTATCCCACAGCTCTAATTGCATTGATAAACGGGTTTGATTATTGACTATATACATACACACAGTCATCGTACTGCTATATTTATAAACTTTGGTAAACGTTTTATATTATACAAGTTACATAGTTAGATTATCAGTAGCTATAGGTTGGAGCATGTTCTACGATTATATATTTTATCATCGTATAGCACTTTAAATCAGTTAAGTTGCTGCTATAGGATTTAAGTTATTCCAATACCTCCCACAAGCAATACCCGTCATGTGCATAATCGAGAATCGTTACAAAGTGTACAAAACATACAGAGACAACTATTTCCTCGCACCTAATATGCCACACACCAATGAACTAAACGCATACGCATGTAACACGTTAATTGCTTCGAGCTTCTAGATTGTACACTAATCGCAAGATTTCGCGTAAACCGTCAGTTTATGACGTACGAATTTTAACGGTGTTGTCGTTTCAGAACGACCAATGCATAATTTTTAAAGTGAACAAAAAAGTATGTGTATTTTGCGATGCTAAGTGTCTGAACTATATGTGGCACGCCATCGTTATAATTGTATTTTGGACAAAATTTTGTACAAATTTTTTAAGTGTTTGAACAATTTAGCGACCATTAAAAAAATTCTTAATCAAATTTCACTTAAGCAAGTACATGATCTGCACAAATTATATAACGGATAAAAGAAAATATGATTCAATAGTATAGTAATAGTATATATTGCATTCATGTATTATATATGAACATTTTTTTTAAATATAATATGTTTGACGTTTTCAAACACGCGTACAATTTGAAAATATTTAATATGTGAAATGTAAATTTCATATGATATCCTGGTTAATTATATAAAAAATCTGTAAATAACAAGATAAAATTTTTTTTTATTCAAAGTATCCATATTTACGTACTAATCACACGATATTTCCTTGCGCACCAATGAGCCAAATAAACAGCTTGCTTACCTTTATATTAATAAATCGTGTAAAAATAGACAACCATATTTAGTGAATTCCACTAACAAATAACTCATTTTTAGAATAAAATTAAACTATTTGTTGACCTCTGCATTTTCAGACTACGTCGTGGTTTGCAAAAATAGAAACGTTAATATGAAAATATAATTTTAGCAATGTCAATTCTACAAAATTTTCATTTAGGTAAAAATGGTTGTAATTTATTTTCATTCTTTATCAATGGTAAGTTTAGAAATTATAATTTTAAATCTGCTAAATCAAAATTTTTCAAAACTAACGTATTCTATAAATATTTATTTTAATTACAAAAATGTAGGTGTACAAAAATGTACAGTTTTAGCTAATAAAAATTTTGGTACAATATTTTGTTAAATAGATCATAGATAGATAAAAAAAAAGGCATAACTGTTTATCTGGCAACAGATGATTCTTTGTACTATTTGTACTTTGTTATTAATCTAAGTATAGGGAAATCATTAAAGAAAATGTAACTTGAACAATATTTCATATTAGTTCAATGAAACGTTGTTTTCTTAAAATATCTCCAACAAACGGAAATTACTGTCATTTATTACTAACGAAATATTTTATTTTTATGTATCAACAACACAAAAATAACTTTTTCTTTGATTAACTATAAGTACATGGTGTTTCGTGAAAAACCAAGAAAAAAACAAATATGATTAAAATACAAAATTAAAACATGAATCTGCTAAGAACTATTAAAAATTAAACAAGAATCTACTTAGAACTACTTTATACCTTGTAAATACTGTCAGAAATTTATATTATAGCAAAAAGAATTGAAATTGAAATGAAAAACCACTTAATAATAAGTGTATGTTTCAATTACTATGTAAATACAGATATTTACATGGAATGATCCTTTTTGTCTGATGACATGTATTCACGAAAATCTTTCAGCATAAATATTTTTATTCAACATTTGAATCATATAAAAAATAATTTGGATGTTAAATGAAGTAAATAGTAACAAATGATTGTTGAAAAAAAAAACGAAATATTGTAGAAAAAAAACGATGTTTGGAGTGATATAGTTAAACCATTTATCGAAACTTGTGGAGCAGAGTATAAATGTGTAAGTAATGGTGGTCTTGTCTTAAGATTATATAAACTAAATATACATAGTCTCACACGCAGCATAAATAATGTGTTGTAGCGTAATATAAGCAAATTTAAGTCGTTTCTAAGAAAGAACCCTCTATTACATGTACCATTTCAGTTGTAATCTAAAATACATTGTATATTTAGATATACATGAATATATTTAAGCATTGAAAAAAAATCTTTATCTGAAGTAAAATGAATATTTTGCCAAGGAGAAAGAAAAAATATACATTGTACATATTATCTTATGGATATATGATATGGTGGCGTCATTTACTGTTAACTGTAGTTGTATTTTCCTTTGAATAAATGATTATTAGATATGTCAAAAGCATAGTTTAATTTAAAAAAAAAATTTATTTGTTCATTAATTGAAACATTGTGAATTCAAAAAGTAGAAATACTTTCAGAATCATAGTCAAATGACTTGTTAACAGTAGCAAGTTGCTAATAGTAATGTTAAAACATGATTATGCTTGATTTGAATATATATGCAGATATTCATTTACTGTTGATGACACATTTTCACTAATATTGAAAGAAAATATTAGCAGTTCATATTTATTTTCAAAGTTACGGTATGTAGTCACATATTGAATAGATCTCTTTTTCAAAACCCATACAAATCACACTGAAGAAAATCAATAAAGCTCCAACAATACTAGTGGTGGATGGGATTTCATCAAAGAAAAAGACTTGTATAATGTAAGCTAAAATCATATCCAGTGATCTCGTAACAGACACTTTACTGGCTCCTTCTATTTTCAAAGCTTTTGCAACCAGTATTTGACCCATCAGTCCAGTTATTGAAACTAACAGTATCATTAGCCAAGTAAATCCATCTTTTGGAAATATACTGCTATTCAGTTCTGTTAACACTGGTTGGTTTGTTGGCCATGGTGGAACAATGTCTACTCCTGTATACATTGTTGTTGCTTTGACTGGGTTTTCTGTTATGATGGTTGCTAATGGTTTCTCTGTCACAGGAAATATTGGTAAATCTGTGACGTTAATAATTGGTTGATCAGTAACTTGATTGATTGGTTCTATCAATGGATTAGCTGTTGGATTTATTGGTGCGATAGAAAATAATAGTGATGCTGAAACTATTGTCCATGCTGACAAATTCAAAACTATGACAGAATAATGAATATCTGAACATTTTCTCATTACTACAAGATTTATAGCAGTAAAAAAAGTGGCCAAAATTGCACAGATGTAACCAGGTATATCATATCCCAGTTGATGCATCTACAATGATAAATATATAGTAATTTTATAATAAATTGTTACCTTGTTTAGTGTTTGAACTTACTCTGAAAATGAAAGGTGGTTGTGCAACTAAAATCACTCCAGTAATGAGGGCACCAATAACAGTGATGCGTAAAACTCCACAAGGTTCTTTTAGAAAAAAAAATGATAATACCATGACAAGGACTGGAGAACTAAAAATTATTGTTGTTGCATCTCCTAAAGGTAATTTTCTAAAACTGTAGTAGAGCAAAGATAAGGTCATGCCTCCAACTATGCCCTAAAAATTTTTTAAAAAGTTTTGCTTATAGAACTTCCAGATGAATTATATCAGATCTTATTTGTGAACCTACTTGTGTTTGAACTAATAACCGACTGCCTCTTGGTCCAATAAGATTTATTGATGAAATATATCCTACAATTGTCATAACTATAATTTGTATAAATGCACGAATAGATAACACTACCATGGGATCCACATTTTTAATACTTTTCACAAGTGCTGCACTGATAGTAAAAAAAGTGCCTGACAAAAAAGCAAGGAATATTCCACTCCATTTAGTACCTTCACGGTAATTTTCTACATTATTGCTAAAAACTTCTGTTTGAACTTCAGGTGGTTCACTATCAACAGTTCCATAAGAAACAGTTCTATAAATTTTAAGTTTCATTTTGTAGCACAGTAAGATACTTCAAGAGCATCTGAAACATCACTACTAGCTATGTATTTTCTGACTGGATTGCTAGAGGATGAGAGGTGACAAGGATTTATATAATGAAAATCTAACAAGACCTTTGCATGAATACATGAATAAGAAATTTTATTTTCCGTTTGGTTGCAAACATTGGCGTTATATAACACCTCAGACTGGTATAATCACAGTTTTTCTAGAATTCTTGTGTATGGAATGACATTTTAGGCACTTTAGATTTGTATCACCTAATCACCTGAACCATTTATAATTATTTATGAGATAAAATTTAAAAAACTTAACATATTAATAATACAAGGTGCTTAGTCTTTTCCAAACTGGAGTGTGTTAGGTGGTTGATCTACTCTGTACAAGGATTCACCAAGGTTAAAGTAGCCTAGATATTCGACGTCATCTGGTGTTGTATCAATATGATAGTGTCCACCTTCACCATGATGAGAAAAGCTGTGAAAGTGTTGTACTCTCAAATCTAAATCCTACAATGATAAATAATAAATTTTTAGATATACCTTCCATTTTGATAACATTAAAACTTTATCTATATTTACTTGCTTTTATCGCGTTTTGATAACAAAAATAATTAGTCGTTATAATAAGGAATTAAGCAATATTTGTTTGATATAAAGTATATTTTTTTTCGAAAATTATTCCAACTTACCGTTTCTGCAGAGACAAAAGTACCAACTGCAACAAGTGGTGCAGACATTTCATAAAATTGTAGCCAATTGTCTAATTCTTTTACACTGTTCAATGGTTTATCAGAAAAGTTTGGCATTACATGTTGTCTGGCTTTGCCTTCTTTTATCAGAAAAGTTCCTCCCAAACCTGTTCAATAAAAATTATTTTAATTGAATAGTTACTTTCAAAAATGTCACTCAATCACAAGAATTGAAATCTTACCAACAAGTTTATCTTGGTAATGCTCTGCTAAAGCTTCCTGCATAGTAGAGATAAAGTCTTTCTTGCCAATTCTTTTTTTGGCATATACTTTTAAAACTTTACCAGGAATACCTTCACACATAAACAAATTTGCAAGAAGAGCAAATCTGGTTTCATTTCCTTTCAATGTTCCCAGGACACAAGTTTGATCTTTCTTGTTTACTGAAGCAACTCGTGTACCATTCTTAATTTTAGCACAGTCAATCATGACATTCATCATCAACTAAGAATGTAAAGAAAAAAAAGACAATACATTCTACTCTCAGTCTTATTTATAATATTATTTTTGTAAAATGTTTACCTCACTATTACAGTTCAAGTAAGGCCAAGGTCCAGCACCTGCACCAGCAATAAATGCTCTATCTCCATACTTAAACTGCTTGAGTAGAGGTTGAATATCATAGACTTTAGTCTTGTTAACTTTAGGAAGAAGATAAGGTGGTCCACCAACTTCAACAATATTTAATCTACCACCCAAACCTGTAATATATCAAATGCTACAGTATTTCAATTCAGTTACTGTTTTACTGGAAAGACAGAAAATTGCTATTGTAATAAATTACCTTGCGAGGCCAAGGTGAAAGGCTCTTCTGTCAAATCTGGACAATCAACAACTTCAACTTCAGCCTCGGCAAAATTTTCTTTCAAAGCAGTTATGAACACTATAATTTTTTTTAATTAGAACACATTCTACTGTATTTATATAACATCATGAATATGTAATTAAATTGACTCACCATTTTTCACTTCATCAAGAGTTGGAATGTGAAGCTCTCTTTTCAGAACTTTTATGTCACTCGGATCTAAAGTTGTCATGATATCTGTATCTTCTATCAATTACGCAATAATCCGTTCCTTGAACAAGTAAAATAATTAATTAATAAAGAATTTGATTGATATGCTGCTGGTAGCTGAAAGGAGTGACTTAGTGGGAGAGAGAAACACTTATGAAACAAGAGTTTGTTATCTTATTCTCTTGCACTTGTGGCTTTGACAGGAAAAAATGTCGACTGATAACTCGCGAATATTTCAGGGTGTAGCAACGTAGCCAATCACATCATTTTATTTTTATCTCTTATTAGAGCAGAATATTTGTCTTTGTGTCGATAAAGTAATTACATAAAAAAAGTGGAGGCCATTATGTGATTGAAGATGTAGCACTACCTCAACAATATAACTACTTGTCTTCTTTTCAAATTAACGTTATGCAATAATATTGCGAACACGCAGAACCATTATGCAGTTAGTCTATTTCTCATCACACGAGTAAAACAATTTTTCGTTGCAAATTTACTACATATAAAGTCTCCAGTTCATTTCACTCCAATTAAAACAGGAAAGAATTCTCACTTTTTTACGTTTAGTAAGAAATGTAAAATCTTTGACAGTTTACCTTCGTCTCACACGTGCTGTCACATAGCATTTACACACAGGAGAAAAACAATATTATCAGTAATTGTAATTTGTTACGGGCAAACGAATCATTCGTTCAAACGGTGTAGCTTTTTGATTAATCGCAAATTATATTATCGAAAGCTTATTAATTGCTATTTACAAACAAAATGAATGTTTGGTATTACCAAATAGAGAAAAACACCCTGACGCACGAGACACCTAAGCAGATGAGTATATCAATTTTTGTTGTAGAGCAAAATTACAGTGTTGGAATGCAGTAGCACGGAGGCACACTTGTTGAACATATCATGTGAATGTAAGTAGAACAACAAGGCAAGTGCGCACACTCGAATTATATAGGCGCGGACGGCGGGAGACGTAGAAAACATTCGAAAATAATTTGCCGATGCGGTCGTTTTTCATTTTTCTCCAAATGTTTTCTCTATAAGAGTTTCAAATGAGAAGCGCTTGCAATGATGAAAATGTGATCGCCGAGAAACAAGAAATTGATCGTAACCTCGTATTTCTGCGAATAACTTTACGTAACAAACTTGATCTATCCGCTTAATGATTCATATCGTTCTTGTAGAAATATTGTTCGTTTGTCAAACGGACGTCATACTCTTGATCCGCGGTTGGTAATTTGCGAGCGGATATACCTATAGAAGCAATTAAATGACGGTGGACGTACTGACGAGAGGTGATCGACCTATAATTTATGCCACGTCATTTCGATTCCTGTCGACGTTTTAAAAAATTTTAACTTCTGGTAAACATGTTCATAAAAATTCGCTTACTAAATAAATAAATTGATGCATCCAAGCTTGAGTAAAAAAATTATGTAGTGACCTGACCACGAGAAATGATATATACTCATGGATTTTAACGAGTGTTTTGCTACTTTGTTGATTAACTTTTTCTCAATAAAGTTTTTTGAAATATATATAATTTACAATGCGATGACAGATTTTGCCGAAAAATTTGGCAAAAACATCCACTCGCTCCACAAAAATGACTGAGCTCTCGATTTTCACAGTCATGTAAGATCTTTCATTTTGGCTCTTTTCATCTGCTTCCGGATGGATATCTATACATATAGTCAAAGACTTCTTCTTTATTTAATAAAGCAACTTTAATCTAAAATTAAATATAAATTTTTTTTAATCGTTAAATGAAAGAAAGTGATGCTAGATCATTTGGTTATATAGCAGATACTCCATACCTAATAAACAATTAGTGTTTTTTCTCCTCTTTATTTTTATTATTTCGCTCGCGTATCGAGCTTTCCCCACATTTTCCACGACTCATTGACTGCCTCGGACGAGCAACATGATTTCATCACGTGAATATTGTACAAATGTGCTCGTACATTGAATGTTTTTGCGCAACTGTTTTATAAACAATGAAAAATAATTATTATAAAAGCTGTAGAAGATTAATTGTCCATATCAATGGAAACCGCAATATAAGATTCAAAACACCCTGATCAAATATACGTGAGTAATATTTTTTTACGTCAGAAGTAATGCCAAAGAAAAGAATTTTTGGCAAATATAAATGCAAATTGAAATAATAACCAAACTAAAAAATATTCAACTGTGCTTTTTCCCTCCCAAAAGAAAAAAAACAATCCAACCCACGCTATAAATATTTTATACGAGCGGCAGCACAATTTTCAGCCCGTTAGATTACCAAGCCTCGGTTCCCCGTCGAAGTTGCGTCGTAACCACGAAAATTGCACGGTTAAGCTGCTTAAATGTTGGTCATTTAAAAATGCCAGAAGCGTCAGCAAATTCGTCAGTATTGACGTCGACATGGATCACTCGACAGGCGAAGTGGTCGTTCTCACAGGTGTTCATATTTCTTGTCACTTTAGTTATTCGCCGAAACATTTAAAAAATAAATAAAATAACGCGATGATTGTTCCCACGCAGGTTCGAGCGGTTTTCTCGGCAGTCGGATACTGCGGTATCTCGTGGAGGACGAGCAGGTGAGCGAGATCCGAGCCGTGGACAAACTGATACCGCACGACAACGACGACGACGTGTTCGGCTACAAGGAGAGCGAGGGCAAAGTGAGGCTTTATCACGGCGACTTGGTGAGCGCGGAATCTTGCCGAGATGCCTTTCGCGGCGCCGACGTGGTTCTGCACTGCGCCGCTCTGGTTGACTACGATTACCCGCCGGACGTCGACGAGCTTCGTAAGAACAATATTTTCGGTGAGATAGAGCAGAGGTATTTCGATCGAAAGTCTTTGCCTCCGCCAGGCAGGTTTGGCAATTTTTGCTCTCGCTTGTCTGCAAGCAGCCACGGAAAACGTGATAAAGCTGTGCATCGAGGAGAACGTGCCGCGACTAGTTCACTGCAGCACGACGGAGGTGACGCTGCAGCCATGCTTCACGGGTAGCATCGTGGCGATCAGCATCTACAAGCAGGAGTCGAAGCTGGAGGTGCCGAGCGACAGCAAGCTGATATTCGGCGACTACGCGGCGACCAAGCTCAGAGCGGAGCAGATCGTGCTCGAGTCGCACGGGAGCCCGCTGAGGAACGGCGCGGGCACGCTGTCGACGAGTGCGCTAAGGCCCACCTTGATGTACGGCGAAGGCGACCCGCACCTGCTGCCCAAAATACTCAGTTACGCCAAGAGCCGAGGCGGCCGTTTGCCCAGGTTTTGGGGTACGACCGGCAAGCAGCAGATCACTTACGTGGGTGAGTTTGCAATTACGCTGGAAGCGAGGACACACCTGGGAAACCACCGAATTCGTTCCCGCAGGCAACGCTGCCTGGGCATTTATCAAAGCTAAGGACACTCTGCGCGAGACGCCTCTGGCGATAGCAGGGCTGCCGGTCACGGTGACGGACGACACGGTGGTCGACTACTTGGCGCTGTTCTGCGAGCACGTCACCGACGGCAAGGTGCGAGTCTCGTCGTGGCCGCTGCCGCTAGCCTTGTCTTACCTCGGAGCGCTGCTCTTTGAATTTCTCTCTCGCTTTGGTCTTATCTCCAAAATCCAGGTGCGTGCGTGCGACGTGCACTCTTCGCGTATGCATTATGCTGCTGTCGCAACGGAAAGCCTTCCGAACGGATCGCCTATTGTCGAATTACGGAAACAGGCCCTCGGCTCGCCAAATATTTTATCATCTTCAATTTTCTATTCGTTATTCGATAACTGCCCCTTATCTCGGATAAAGTTCTGTAGCGATAAGTGAAATCGCGTTGGGCGACATCAATTAATATCGAATAATAGACGTGAGCGCCAATGACGCTTATTTTCGACAGTTGCAAAGACATTTCGCGCTTTTAAAGTGGAGACAGTGCGATTCGTCGATATTTTTAAATCTGAAAAAGCCTCGTGGCTGACCAAAACTGATTTGCTTGCAGCCACCGACGAGCAGCGTCTACGCGTTCCTGGGCTCGATTCTTTTGTACAATCGAGCTCGCGCCTCCATTCACATGAATTACTGGCCTAAATACAAACACGACGAGGCTGTTGCACTCGCCGCCAAGTATTATTCCGAGCTTTACGCTCGCGAACAATGAGCCATAAATCAACGTTTATACCAACGAGCGATATTAAAATTAGAAATAAGAGCTTTTATTAGCGGCTCGTCAGAATTGTCAATAAAGAAAAGGAAAGAGGTCGTTCCGAAAGCAAAAGCAATGTCCTTGTGGTTTTTTTTTAATCGGAATTTTATTACACGAACGTGGAATACTTTGGTTAACAATGAAAACAGAGTGCAATCTGGCTTCTAGCACCTCGATGCACCTCTACACCATTATTATTGTCGGATTTCATAAGTTTTTTTTTCTTCCTCGATAATCATCGAGACGACTTTTGATTGAGGAAAAAAAGCGCCTAGCATGACATTTTTCTTCCAAATATCATACAATTTGTAACTGTTCGCATAAAGATATTGATGTGCTGTATCTCTTCACAAGCTGTATAAATTACAAGCTCGAGGTATATAAAGCAATAATATACTATATATTTCAATAAAACGACGAATAGTTCAACTTGAAAATTTAAAAGTCAACGTGGAGAACAAAGTACAGGGTCGCTCTCAGCATGCAACGACTACGCAGACACACACACACATACTTATACACACACGAGGGTTAATTGTTTCTTTGCGTGCAGCCGATACTCTGAGCGAGATTATTTACTGTCTTTTTTATTTTTCATCAATATAGTGCTTGTTATTTTCAAAGTGTGAATGCTATAAATACTTGGGGGGTGTAGTATCACATATAGTTTTTTACTCGTTAAACACCGATTTGAGAAATTTTGATTTTCCAAATGAAATTTCTCCTCTAAATCAGAATCATTTAGTTAACAATAGCGAAAAAGTGTATTTACAATATATAGAATTATAATAAAATCTTTCAAATTTCAATTTTTTCCTTCTTTTCTTTTCCTACATTCGTCTATTTCCTTATAATATTCAGAACTCAAGCAGTGCGCGAGGTCATGTTCGATATAAGTACTTTTTTCACATGTAGCCTTGCTATAGGATGCACTCGGAAATTATATATATATATATATTCGTACGTATTATAATATGCATTTTGCATCAAGCAAAATCTATGAGTCTCAAATAATATTATATAGAAAAAGTATCGCACCGAAAATTATCGTTAGAAGTGAAATATCTGACAAAAACCGACAAGGAAAATCATTTAATTGACACTTTCTACGGTTTTTATTATTTTCTTTTCAAAAGCCCCGCTAAAATGCTATTACTTCGATAATAATCGCTTGCCTCTTTGGCGTAACAATAATCGATTAACAACAATCTCTTACGAGATCGATTTACGAATTACTTATATCTAGCCTACTGCTGCTTTTGTTTTGTTGAAGCAATTTACCATTACGATGGACCACAGCTCTTTTCGACACGTTAAAACAACTAAATAATAAAACATACATATACATAAAGAAACTATAAATATTCAATAACTTAACAAGCACACGCGCTACGCCGTAAAAATTACCAAGTAGAGATTAACATTAAACACATAGAGATAAAATCGTAGATAAAAAGAATAGTTAATGGCATGATTTTAAATCGATAAATTTTGTCTCTCTGATAAACTGCTCCAACAATCGATGCATACTTTGCATTACTCGTTTATTTTTCTATATTTTCGTTTTTAAATATAGATATCCGAATCGTTGGTGTATATATACGAATACATAAACGTAACGAATCGGCTGCACCGGCACGTTTTAAGACGTAATTCTCTCTTTCTCGTCTGTAGAATTGCGTATTGTAATCACTACGAAAAAATGAACAGTGAAACTAGGCACGTAGTTGGCAAAGTACACTCTTGCTTTTTTTCTTCCTGTCACGGTGCGAATTACCGACTAGTTATTATGGCCGTTATGGCGTCAAATCATTTAATTTATTGGACGTCTCTACTCTTGTAACCCCATCACTGACGGAGCACGCGATCCTACGGTGAAGTCTTTATACTGAGAGAATACGCAGATCTATAAAATAGAATAGCGACATTTATACACGATGCAAGTGCGGGAAAAAATGAATATATAAAATATATTATACCTTATCTTTTAATCTTTGACAAAGCTGAAGTGAAATTGTTACGAGTACCAAAGCTTCATTTAGCCAAGGAACACTGCACTCAGCCTGCTGAGTTTCATATTTTACATTACCATGGGCATTTTCTAACTGGTAAACTGCAAGTACCAGTTTGTAGCTTTGAATATAAAAACTAATAGCATAATTTTCAGGCAAATTTGGGTTGAGGGATTTCTGAAAGAAATTAAATAATTTTTTATGGCTTTTATAACAATTTGAAAAAGCAAGTAATTTGCTTACCATATTGCGACTTTTGATAAGATCATCTAAATTTTTTTTCCTGGGAACAATTAAACTAGTTCTACTGCGTTGAAGGCAACCTAAAATATTACCCAAGACATGCATGACTTCGTCAGAAGTTTTGAAAGAGTAATGTCTGTCAACATTGTCGATGTGTGCGATTGCTTGCTGTAAGTGATTGGCAGCATCCTGAATTTGTTGCAATTTCCAAGGATGATCATTTTGTATCATGGTTCTCATGTTCACGTTTTGCTGACGTTGAACTTTGAAGGTCACTTCCTACAATTTCAATATTTAACAGTTTATTAAGCTTAACAAGCCTACATTAGTTATTTAGTTCTGATAGAAATACTCACAGCATTTGTAATACTGTCGCCTGTGAGAACTGCAATACACTTAACCTGGTCATGGGGAGCAGCGAATACAAATCTGTCAGTCTTGTTCTGCTGATCATTTCCAAAGAGTGTTAATGGGAATCGCTGCGCACATTCCTTTAGGAAAAAATGTATTTTTTTAAGTATAAATGTTTAGCATCAATATAAATAAAATATAAATAACGTATATTACAAATACCCTTTTTTTCAACAAATCGAAATACTCAGAAAATATTACAAGTTGCAATTAGTCTACAAAATGTTAAAAAATATTTAAAAAATTTAGATAAAACTACTTTTTCATCTAACCTAATTTATTATTTTAATGACTTAAAAATTTCCATAATAAACTACCTTTGTCATAATAACATTCGAACTTACCATTAGAATATTGCGTAGCTGCGACAGCGAATTGTGTACCTCTTCATGGAGGACCCATTCGAATTCCATTTGCTATATTAACATATCAAACAAACCATTATTATTATATCTACTAAACGAACACAAGTTCTAAGCGATTAATAGATAAGTATCACTTTCGGCCCGATCTTGTTAAAACAAACAGAAAATTGTATCTAAAAACACGGAGAAATTGAGAAATTGAAAATTTACTAGTCTATAACCTAAAAATCAGTCCCGAAAAAAGATCAAAATATGTAAGAGAAATAATCATTTGTCAGTAAAACACTTGCACCTAACCTCGTGAGCTGTCATAGTCAAGAGCGCGCGCTACTACCCTAGCGATAATGTAAGTTGTCAGCGGGGCTGAGTTATCAATTGACTAAATACCGAGAGGGGAACAAGTCGTGTGAGAGCGACCGACGATTAGATAAAAGCTGATCAAAAGCAAATTGCTTACGAGATTGTGAGCCTCCTCCTTCTCGCAGTCAGCCATTTTCAGTCAGCAGTGCTGCTGTGCTGCTACTCTCACAGCTGCTGACCTCCTATTCATCAATGCGCCCTATTGTTGTATCGCGTGCGCCTAAAATATCATCTGCGCAGACTATTATGATATGCGAAAGTAGATAGGTATGTGTATGTGTGGGTAGATGGACTGCCGTGCGCAAGGAGATCAATGATACACGTCAACTTTCAATTAAAGATGTTATAACTGCTAATGATTAATTAAATTTATTTCACTCTGCAATAATTTTTATCGTTCATTACAAAAAATTATGTATAGCTGCAGGATAGAGCTTTCTCTGTTCTTGTAAATTGAAGTATTCACTTTTTTTATTACTTTGGAGCAGTCACTGACTATCTGGGCTCTTTTAGCTGATTAATGTTGTTTAATTAAATAAAAATTATTACAATTATACAGATAACTATAATAAGTTAACTAAAATATATCAGAGTTTTATTACGAAAATTTTCCAAGAATTTGATAAAAGCAATCGTATTAGTAAAATATGTTAATATTTTTGCATATTTTTCCACGTACGATAGTTTATTAAGCTAAATTATATGTTAACAAAATTTGTTGTTTAATTAAGCCAGAAAAAATGTTATTTGTAATAATACTTTTGAATTAATTTGCAATACTATACAGCGATAATTTCAACATACCTAATAGCCTTCAATTTTAAATGACCCGCCTGCAATCGACGTCAACCTTATATCGAGATTCGAGATAGTTGCAATTTTCATTCAATTTCACGATTCACTGTAAATTTTGTGGTAAAATACCTAGTGACAGGCAAATTGATGAAAATTGTAAAATTATACAAGAATTACAGTTTACTATTATAGAGCTATTTTACTTCACCAAATTTATTTTGTAATTTTGAAATCATTTTTAAATGAAACGATTGATCGAAGCTTTCAATGGCGAACACATGACGTCAGATGACTGTAAAAACAATTTTACTGATTAATTATAATTTATGAAAATAATATGAACAGATCTTCGTGTATTATATACAGCTACATAAAAATTAGAATGACATGCGCAAAGTAATTGGACTTCAAATTATTAAAAAAGGTAAATATGTCAGCTTTCTACAGTTCGAAATTCATTTCACGCGCGTCCGCCATGATTATTATTTCCCAAATAATCGTTAATTTTCAAATATTTCAATGAAGCGTCGCTTTGCCCGCCACTTTTGTTCACTCTCTGTATTTAAATACGATGTATTTTGTTGTTTAGTGTGTTTATTACTTTGATCTAAAAAGTAAGTATACATTTTCATTTGTTTTTCAATTCAACAAGATCTATTTTTATTATCGTTCCGAATCAATCTTGTTTTTACTACTATTGTTTTGCTTCGATATGTCAAAACTTCTAACCTACAAAGTGTATTTTGTTATTAATTATTTTCAGAAAAAAATGACTGCGGAAGAGCAACCAAATAGTAAGAGCTCTGATGATGATATGGAAGTTGATGCTCTACAACAAGATGCAGGAGGTGAAAATGATGAAGAAGGAGGATGGAGAGTATCTGATGAAATTTATATTCCACCACCACCTGTGATATTTGGTGAATATGATACAAAAGGACCGAGATTAATGATCGTCAAAATTATGGCCAAAAATTTTAAAAGTTATGCTGGAACTGTAGAAATTGGTCCATTTCATAAAGTTCGTCAATCAATGAAACATATATTTGCTATATAGTTTCACCTTAAATAGTAAACAATTATTTAACTAAAATTTCTATTTTGTAGTGTTTTTCATCTATTGTCGGTCCAAATGGAAATGGTAAGAGTAACGCTATAGACTCTATGTTATTTGTATTTGGTTATCGTGCAAACAAAATCAGATCAAAGAAGATAGCTGAACTGATACACAATTCAAATGAGCATCCAAATTGTTCAAGTTGTACAGTTTCTGTTCATTTTCAACAAATTATTGATAAAGTATGGTTTTATTTTAAATGATTTTATTTAATTAAAAGTACTATGTAGTTTAACTGCAATTTTCTTTATAACCAGCCTGGGGCAGATTTTGATGTGGTTGAAAATAGTGAATTTGTAATATCAAGAACAGCATTCAAAGATAGCTCAGCATATTATGAACTCAATGGTAGGAAAGTTCAATTTAAACAGATTGCTCAATGTCTAAGATCTCATCATGTTGATTTAGATCATAATCGGTTTTTAATTCTTCAGGTATAGTGTATTATCATTGCTTAACATTATGAATGCTGTGTTTAATAATGAACTGTATTCTGAATATTGCATTTACAGGGTGAAGTTGAACAAATAGCTTTGATGAAACCAAAAGGTCAAGCTGATGGAGATACAGGAATGTTAGAATTTTTAGAAGATATTATTGGTACCAATCGCTACAAAGAACCTTTGGAAAAATTATTTCAGAAAGTAGAATTTTTGTCTGAACAACGAGAAGAAAAATTAAGACGTTTGAAAGTAGTTGAAAAGGCAAGAACCGATTTGGAAAAACCCATGCAAGAAGCAGTTCAGTATTTAAGACTGGAAAATTCTATTATTAAATTCCAACACAAATACTTGCAATGCAAAAGGTAACATTAACATAATCAAAATAAATTAAATTACCAATCCAATAATTTAAATGAACTAATAAAGTAATTACCTTTTATAGGCATGAATTATCTGCAGACCTGAATAAAGAAGAGGAAAGTAAAAAAGAATTAGATGAAGATTATAATAAACTCATGAAAGAAATGCAAACAGTTCAAACTAATAAGGATCAAAAGACAAAAGATTTTAAGGACAAATCAAAAAAGTGGGATAAATTACAACAGCAAAAAGATACATTGACTATTAAATTTAATGAAATTAGGAAAAAAGATGAAGCATTGCATGCTGAGTCTGTAGCAACAAACAAACGTAGAAAAGAAAACATTGCTACTGTAAAAACTGTAGGTATTCAAATCAATTAATATTTTTCTACAACGTTGTACATAAAATAAAAAATCAATTATGTACTTAATAATTATAGGAAAAAACTCAATTACAAGATTTGGAAAGAGTACCAACCAAAAATGCAAAAGATATCGCAGAGTATGAGCGTTTACAGGAAAGGCAAGTAGCTGATCGTGAGAAAGAAGAAACTGTATTATCAACTCTTATGAGTGGTTTAAAAGAAAAGACTGAGCCTCTAATGAAAAAGCGTTCTGTATTAGAAAAAGAACTTGTAACTCAAAGAAAGTACGTAGACGAAGCTAAATCTGCGTTTGATATTGCCAAATCAAAGTTAGATTTATACACGTCTGAAGAGCAAAATGAAAAGAACAAGTTAGAACGACTGCAAGAAGCAGTGAAAGCTTCTGGTGAGAAATTAGCCGAGTGTAAAAACAAGTTAGCAGTTATAGAGCCAAAAATTCCAGCGACAAAAAAGAGTCTTCAAGATGCTCAGAAAGAACTAGACGCTCTCAAGGCTCGTGAAAATGAAGCAAATATACGTTTGAGAAGCACTCGAGTTAAATATGATGAACAGAAGTCAGCCATGCACGCTGGCACATCTAGGAACCATGTACTCAATTCTTTGATGCGTGAAAAAAGAGAAGGTCGGCTTCCTGGAATTTTTGGCAGACTCGTAAGTACTTAAAAATTTCCCCTGTCACATATCCTTGATACATTTAAATTATAATTTAAATATTTCTTAGGGTGATCTTGGCGCAATCGACGCTCAGTTTGACATAGCCGTATCGACAGCTTGTGGTCCTTTGGATTTTATCGTTACAGACACTGCGGATACCGCAGGAGAGTGCATTAAATTCCTTAAACAGAATGACATTGGTCGAGCCACTTTTATAGCTTTGGATAAGCAACAACACTTACTTCGCCAATGCAGAGAAAAAATTAATACTCCAGAGAACGTCCATAGGCTCTTTGATTTGATCAATGTAGAGGACCAACGAGTTCTACCTGCTTTTTACTTTGCTCTTCGCGATACTCTAGTTGCTAAGGATTTAGATCAAGCGACTCGTATTGCTTATGGAGCCAAGCGATATCGAGTGGTCACGCTCAAGGTACATAACAAAAAATCTTTTTAAATAAACATATCTTTCATCATATATCAAGTAAAATGATTTCCTTTAGGGTGAATTGATTGAAATAGCAGGTACAATGAGTGGTGGTGGTAAACACGTATCTCGTGGTCGTATGGGTCAAAAAGTAGCGCGAAGCGAGCCCACCGCTCACGATATTGAGAAGTTGCAAAGGGAATTGGATGAAGTATATGAAGAGTATAATCAAATCAAAGCTAAACAGCCACCACTTGAAAATCAAATTCGGACCCTTAATATGGCTTTGAGGGATATGATTGAAGATAAGGAAAAGTATCAAATAGAAATTAATCAACTGAGCATGGAAGAACCATTTCTTCGAAAACAGTTGAAAGAACAACAACAGAAAGCTGCGTCTACTATCTGTGATCCAGCAAAAGTATGACTATTTTTTAAGATAAGAATGTGAAAAGTAGAATTAAAAAAAAATCTTATTATTTGTTCTCAGGTTAAGCAATTGATGAAAATTGTCAAAGATGCCGAGGCAAAGCTCGAAGAAGTTTCGCAAGGTTCAAAAGAAACGGAAAATAGCGTCGCACGAATTAATTTGGAAATAGAAGAAATATCAGGTAATCGCGTCAAGGAACAACAAAAGAAAATAACATCTTTAACCAAATCTATTGACAAGACGAAAGCAGAAATCTGCCGATTAAAAGTGGCCATTAAAACTGCTGAAAGAAATGCTAAGAAGATAGAACAAAAAATTGAAACTTTGGAGACAGATATTAAGAATTGTGAACAAAGGATACGCGATATACAGAAAGAGAAGACAGGATTTGAAGAAGTAGCTAAAGACATGTTGGAAGAGCTTAAACAGTTAGGTGAAGAACTTGAAGAACGAGATGAGTTGGCTGCAACATTGAAGACTGAACTAGAGCAAATGCAGTCTCGAGAAAACAAAATGAAAGCTGTCAAGATTGATTTAGATCAAAAAATGAGCGAAAAAAATAAGATTCTCAAAGATCTTCGAACCAAACTGCCTGAAATCGAGACTGCTATACAGAAATTGAAGCTTCAAGAGATTCCAAATGAAGAGTCCGAAACTCTTACAGAACTTAACGAAATAGAACTTCAAGAAACCGACAGTAAAACTGTTGCTGTTCAAGTACAGAAAGCAAAGGAAAAGTTGCCAAAGGAAATACCGAACATGCAGATTATCGAGCAATACAAAGAACAGAATGCTTTGTATCTGAAGAGATCTGAGAAATTACAAAAGATCACGGAAGAGAGAAACAAAATGCGTGACACTTATAACCAAGCTACGCGTAAACGAATGCAAGAGTTCAATGCTGGCTTTAATTTGATTACCGGTAAACTCAAGGAAATGTACAGAATGATTACTTTGGGAGGCGATGCTGAGTTGGAATTGGTCGATTCATTAGATCCATTTAGCGAAGGTATCGTGTTTAGCGTTCGTCCGCCCAAGAAATCTTGGAAATACATCCAGAACTTGAGTGGAGGTGAAAAGACTCTAAGTTCCTTAGCATTGGTCTTTGCTCTTCACCATTATAAACCTACCCCTGTCTACTTTATGGATGAAATTGACGCGGCTCTCGATTTTAAAAACGTTTCCATCGTAGCAAATTACATTAAGGATCGAACGAAGAACGCTCAATTTATCGTCATTTCACACAGATCCGATATGTTCGAGCTTGCAGATTATCTTGTAGGCATTTACAAGATATACAATTGCAGTAAATGCGCAGTACTTGATGTTAAGAAATTTAATAAAATAGTCGGAATACCGGACATTACTACCACTACCAATAACAATCAATCTAACAATACCAGATCAATTTTCTTGTCACAACCAACTCCAGTGATTAACCAAAACTCAGATAGTAGACCAGGCTCAATGTCACACCATGCTGGGCCTGTAATACCAGCTACTTGCCCGGAAAAAATTAACAGAGAAGCTGACAATAAGGATTCCAATAGAGAAAACGAGAGCGAAACAAACCTCGATTTGAGGTAATGTATTAAAATATGATTAGATCCGATTTTTTGTTCGTACTTATAATTTAATGATGATTTTTATATTTACAGGTTGGGTGATATTAGTTTACCAGTGACTCCTGTGAAAACCCCGACCTCATCCATGAAAAAACGCAAGAACATGGATAAAACACCCTCATCGACACCATCACCTCGAAGACAAAAGAGCCTGCGACGAAACATCGATACTGAATTGCAACAGGTATCGGAAGTTCTCGAGACACTTTCAGAGCCAAACTTACAAGAATCTCGAAAATCGACAAATTCTAGAATGTTGCGAAGATCTAGTAAGTCACTCGATGAATTTCAAACACCTAGAAAAACGCCAAGAAATTTGAAAAAAAATAAATTTGTGGAAGAAGCTCAGAGTCGAACATCGTCGTTACGAAAACGTCGTAAGCAATGAAAGTTATTGAGTTTCGATTTACTTATTAATATTTAAGGAATGAATTAAAAATTCTCATTTATCGTGCTTATAAAGCTTATTACTGTACAGTACTATACTTTTTTAAATTAAATCTTGGGTAAAAAAATATTTTATACGATTACTTATAGTATTAATATAAACTTACTTTTGAGATCTCTGCGCAGATGTTAACACAAGATGCACGTAATGTGCTTAAATGAATTTAAATATATGATTGGAATACTTTCATAATAAAATTAGTAGTTATAAGTAGACTTCATTTCAAACTTGCATGTACTTTTCTTGCTGTTGGAAAACTACTTGCAATTTTTTCGGGACAAAGTTCACTGTTAACATGCGTTAGAAATATTTGATAATTTGACGTGAAACGGCACTTGTAAAAATATGCAATAAAATTTATATTTGTAACAATATCCTTGTATATTTTAATAAAAAAAATGTAAACAAATAATTTTCTGAAAACAAATTTAATAGCAGACATAGATGCGCACGCATTCGTTTCACGAATTCACAGCTGACTGCACTCGGCGTTAAACACTTGTTTGATTCTCATGTAAGTAAAGGAGGTAGATCGACACATACCAAATATTACACCATATACCGATCGTAACAGTTTCGTCTTGTCTACAATGTTTTCATTTAAATACCGAAATTTACACTGTTGATAAAGTAAGTAATTGTCAACTTATATTTTTTATTATTCTACTCAAAATTATAGTAACACTTTCGTAGAAGTATATTATACAACGTATGTAAAAAGCCCTGTGATAATAATGTTTACACTAGACTTTGGGCGGTGTTAATTAATAAAAATGAGTATACCGAAAAATTCAAAGTTAACAATATCGTCTATGATGCAATGATGGCTATAACTTAATGATTTTTAGAATATTACGATCCATTATTCAGTAAATACTGAATTGCTTTTCTTCCAAGCTCGATCCCGATTGGACTACTTTGACGTTTTTCTTTTCGCAGAGCGGGAATTTCAAAAACGGAACTTCGATATCCTTTAGACATTGCAAAATCTTACAATTCAAAAATGAGATTAAAATTGTACTATGATTTTCTCTCTCAACCTTCGAGAGCGCTGTATATATTTTTGAAAAAATGTAACATACCTTTTGAACCCCAATTCGTGAATCTTTGGAAATTGGAGAATTTTAAACCAGAATTTGAAAAAATTAATCCATGGAAGAAAATTCCATGTATAGAACACAAAGGATTCCTTCTGTCAGAGAGGTACTTGAATCCAAATAGCATACATTGAAAAAGATATAATTTCAAATATTAATAACCGGTGAATTATTAGCGTAGGTATATTTCGCTACCTTTGTCGTGAATTCAAAGTAGATGACCACTGGTATCCAAAAGACTCGCAACTGCAAGCGAAAGTTGACGAATATTTGGAGTGGCAACACTTGAACACGAGACTGCATTGCACAACGTATTTTCGTGTCAAGGTACTGCTTCTTTTATACACTGTTATTCCGTGTGAGACTACTTTTCATAATAACACTTATCGATGACAGTATCTACTCCCTTTGAGAACTGGTAAGCCAGCCAAAGCGGACGTTGCAAGAGATTTGCAAGCATCGATGATCGAATGTTTGGATCACATTGAACATATTTGGTTGAAAGATAATAAGCCCTTTATAGCGAACGACAGCATAAGCATAGCCGATATCCTTGCTGCTTGTGAAATCGAGCAACCGCGTAAGTCTTCATTTGCACTTGAATAATATTTATCAATACACACCATAATTTCATTTTTATCGCAGGACTTGCTGATTACGATCCACGAGAAGGCCGACCAAACTTGACCGCATGGCTTGATCGCGTATCTAAGGAATTGTCGCCCCATTACAACCATGCACACGCTGGCGTGAACGAAGTATCCAGCAAATATAAGTAACCAACCAACTGTCCTTAAAATAGACAAAATCCCGTTAGACGAGCAGTATACAACGTCCAATTTTTCACCCAACGAGTTTCAATAAATCATTCATTTTTTATAAATTACTCGCTAGCCTCAAGTATATCTTTTTCCAACTCCAAAACCATAGAGAGTCGCAGCACGACGATACGTGTATGCTGCTATATAAGCCGTTAGGTTATCAAGGTAAACAACATGAAAACACATCGAGCAAGTATGCGATGCCGGCTTGCGTGCGCACGCATCGCCGGAATGAGCCGTCAAAGAACGCGAAGAATAAGTGTAAGTGCTAGTAATCTAGTAGACTCACCAGTGTGAGCACATATTTACAGTGCAGTGTGGAAGCTTGTTTTTATTGTCGCTGCTTCGGTACAAGAATAACCATACTGTGCCGACGAACTTCGGCTAGTAGTTTGTGGCCACCTCAGTTTATCCAAACTAATTCAATTGACACTTAGAGCAATAATGTAAGTGTCATTTGGTCATTAGCTACTAGTTATGCCTTGTAATTAGGATGAATTATTCCGGAAACAAGTTGCCACTGTTTCGGTGACTTTAGTGTTCTGTCATGGAAATCCAAATAAAATTTTGTTTTTTTTTCACATTGAGAATTCTTCGACGCATAACATTTATAACATTCAATAGCCTCATTTATTACGTAGGCAATAATAACTGCTAGTTAAAGAAATATAATGATTCGACATAATCTGCTTCAATGAAATAGGAATCGAGTAAACGAAAAATCGCTCCAATAATTTCGCATAAAGCAATTTAATAAGAGCTACGTTGTTAGGAAGATATTGATCGTACGTTTTTTTTTCTTTTGAAAGACATCGTTAATAAACGGGTCTCGCTCAGACGAACGGAGATGCATCAACGACACATACACTCTCTCTCTCTGTACACTGTATACCGAGTTCAGTGTTCGGGGTGACTAACTATAGCGTATAAAGTGGCGCGCAAATTTCAAACATGCAGAACGCTGACGTGAGACGTTCTGTTCCAGAATCGGAGATGAGTTTGAAGCTCTATTTCGATCTCATGTCCCAACCGTCGAGGGCTTTATACATATTTCTGAAAAAGAACCACATACAGTTCGAGCAAAAACTGGTCAATCTTGGCAAAGGCGAGCATTTGCAGCCTGAATTCGAGAAAATTAATCCGATGAAGAAAGTTCCGGTGATTGAGCACAAAGGATTACATCTGACTGAGAGGTAAGTGAAATGCCCCTAGTATTCAATTGTTATCGAGCTGTACGAGTCCATCGACGCCGATACGGACAAAAATAAATTAGGTTTACGTAAAAGCAGCGATAAGATTGCCAATTAAAAGGCATGACATAGCGTTTATCGCTGGCAAATAAACAGTTTGTATCGACAAAATCGAACTCTAATTTTACATAAAATATCTTTTGGAAGTATCACAGTTTTCAGCGGGTTTTCAAGTATCAGACGAATATTCCACCGTAAACTGCAATCGATTAATCGATTGGTTGGCTTGCAGTGTGGCGATATTGCGTTACCTCTGCCGTGAATTTCGCGTGGACGACCACTGGTATCCAAAAGACTCGCAGGCTCAAGCGAGAGTCGATGAGTATCTGGAATGGCAACATCTGAATACGAGACTGCACTGTGCGTCGTACTTCTGGATCAAGGTAATTACTCTATTGCTGTTGCGTCCCACACACGTTGATACACGTTTATTTTGCAGTATTTGTTGCCGAAGATGCAGGGCGAGCCGCCCAAGCCTAACAAAGTGGCACAATACGAGGAGCGGATGATCGAGTGTCTCGATCAGATTGAAAAAGTCTGGCTATACGATAAGATGTTTCTCGCAGGCTATCAAATCACAATTGCCGATCTCCTCGGTGCTTGCGAGATAGAACAAACTCGTGAGTAACAACAAGATCGAGCTATTTTTTCGTCTTTCCGCCGCTTTGCTGACTTTGCATTTTGCATTCTAATTTGATTATTATTACAACAGGCATCGCTGGCTTCGACGCAAGAGATGGAAGGCCGCATCTTGCCGCATGGCTGGATCGAGTCTCTCGAGAAACTGCTCCGTATTACCAGGAGGCTCAAGTTATTCTTAACAAAGTCGTCGATAAAGCCAAGGAGAGCCGTAGCAGACTGTAAAATATCACAGTGTAATATGGGAAGGGACGCGTCGTTGTATTTTTTTGTATCGATAGCTCGGCTGTTTTGCCGTTTTAAGAATTGTGTTTTTGTGATTTCTACGTTTTAACTTTTCATACAAAACAATAAATCTATCATAAGAATGAAAGTGAATTTGACTTCATTTTTTTCTCCCTGCGTGCATGAACGCACTTTTAGATTAAGATACAACGTCAAGCTATTATTTCTAGTTTTATATTAAAATACTTACCAACATATCTACTTGATTTAGATTCACTTTATTTTTTATTCTACAGCTCTGATCTTATCTATAATAAGAATTTGATTTGTGTGCAATCCTGTTATTCATACCCCAAGTGTATAGCTATGATCTTTTAATATTAAAAGAAAAATAATCTAAAGAATGATTTGATAAAATTTATGCGAATTCTTAACAGCGTCTTGACCATTCATTTACAGATTAATACGTGACTATGAAGCTGGAGTTGTATTTCGATTTTTTATCCCAGCCATCCAGAGCAGTTTACATATTTCTAAAGACCTGTGACATACCCTTCAAAGCGCACGCCATGCAAATAGTCAATGGAGATAACACGACCGAGGAATATCTAAAGATTAATCCATTCGGCAAAGTTCCAGTCATAACTCACAGAGGATTCAAACTTACTGAAAGGTAAGGTCATTGAATCATTGAGTCAAACTGAGATTTCAGTTTAAATCGATTAACGCATAGTGGCACCATTATTGCAGTGTTGGTATCGTGCGCTACCTCAGTCGTGAGTTCAACATTCCCGACCACTGGTATCCGAACTCGTCGATAGGTCAAGCTCGAGTTGACGAGTACCTCGCTTGGCAACATTTAAACACTCGGCTCCATTGTTCCCGCCTGTTCTTAGGAGGTGTAAGTGTGTCTCGTAAGATAGACGGTTTATCGAGAGGCTAATTTCCAACTCGTCAAACACAGGTATTATACCCCATGATGAGACAAAGGCCAGCAAAGCCAGAAGCAGTCAGAGGATTTGAACGCGACGTGGTGAAAAGTCTGGACGCGATCGAGAACAGGTGGCTGAACAATCAGCCATTCGTCGCTGGCAACGAGATCAGCGTGGCCGACATTTTCGCAGCCTGCGAGATCGAGCAAACAAGTAAGTTTTCGCATTAACAAGAACCTCGTTGACGAGCACTGGTCAAACATGAACATTTAAATCGATGCAGGAATGGCAAGTTACGACCCACGAAAGAATCGCCCCAAATTGACCGACTGGCTGGAGAGGGTAGCTCAACGAACGTCGCCCCATTACGCTGAAGCACACACGTACATCGACAACGTTATCGCTAAATTTGCAGGAAGACCACCTCACACTTGCGCCATTGCCGAAATGTATCAGTGATGATTTTTCGAATGTTTTCGTGCTATCAAACCTCGCTTTGGGATTGTTGCAAATAAAAATACTGTGGTACGGGGACAAACTAAACCCTTAAAGTACTATTGCTTGAATACACCTCACTGTGTTCCGATGAAAATGAAAACGCCCAAGTCAAATTTAGTTAATTTATTCGTCCAAAACTCTCGAAAATCAGCACGAATGTTCTCAATGGAAGATCGCGCTGTTTGCGATTTGATTGCAACCTGCACGCGCAAAATCCTTGGATGCCAGCGTCAACAACGACAGCTAGCTGTTTTTATTGCACGCGACTGCTTTATTCCGACAAAGCTCCAAGCGCGACATGGCAATTGCGCAGCGATAGGTCGAACGAGTAAACAGCACACTGGCGAACGCCGAACGCGACGTGTAGGCATTTTTTGGCTCCCTGTGGTCAGCTCGAACAGGATATGATGTAAACACCTCGGGCTTCGGGAACACGGCTCGCGAGTTCTTTCCCAAGAGCAAAAGCTACAGCATCCTCTACCGCGCGCTTCGAATACGGATAGCGTCCACTTGTTATTCTGTCTTAGACGCGTGATTTTACGATATTTCATGGTCATGCACGCGTACGCGAAGCATCCCGTACCCAGGAGTGTCGATTCGGGACGCCATGCTGTCAATTTTCCAGCTGCACTGAAAGCCGAAAGTACCATTCGCTATCGATGACGGGCGGCATCATCCTGTTCTCGGCTTACGCGACCAAAAGTAAAATAAATAAAATAAAGATAAAAGAGGAAGACAACGGGATTCGGACGTTTCTCGTGACAATGCTGGCACCCGCGACAGTCGCAAGCCCCTCGCTCATTCTTCATCGGGGCTTGGTGCGTCCGCTTCGTTGCGAACCAAGGGGAATCCCTCGATGACGTCCGTGCGCTATTCGCGACAACAGTACGCGCCAGAACGCGCAGTGTTATTGCGTCGTAAATGTTCGCTTACATTTTTCACAACAAGAATGTTCAAAGTCACTGCACGTGCTTGTTCAAGCTCTACAGGGGAAAGCCGTACACGGTCACTGTCACCACCATCATTAGCAGCATATTGCGTTAGCCGCCTAAAATCTCAACCAGGTTCCTGGCGGAAGGACGGCGGTGCCGCAACGTAAGACACCACTGTTCTTGAGATCTGCATTTTTCGTGAGAACTAACACATTTAAACGCGACTCGCTGACAACGTAGGTGCAACGGCAAACGACAGTACGTCATCAATTTGTCGGCGGCGATTGACACGAACTTGTAACAAGGGTATGGAGATGCATTATTATATTGAACTGCATATTTTCCACGATCTCAACTAATCGTCGGTTATTTCTTTCGTTGAACTTGCAGCTGGATGTACGTCATTCTACTCGCTGCGCAGCTACGCGAGGCAATATTCGCTCGCCGTTGACGTATACGTGATGTATGGCAGCACAAAGAGAAAAAAAATCATTTCGCTAAAGCTCATGCCATCAGCCGGCCGTTGAATTGTTCAAGGGACGACTTGTTCGACTGGCCGTACCACTCGCGTGTCGTTTGAGAAGAAGCGCAAACCTGCCTATAATCGTAGTGAAACTAGTCTACCCTCGATCGCACGAATGGCTTCGAAGATGTTTGCCATTTTAAGGTTAGGCGAGCTGATGGAAACCACACACCGCGGACTTCAATTATTGAGTATGCGAGAAAATCGAACTTGTTTTTCTTCACATACTCGACCCGGTTCTATTCACATAGACACATCCATTACAGAACTTAAATTCACATAACTTTAAAGCGCTTCGATGATAGTTGTACCATTGCAAGGAGCGTATAACTTACTTCGAGCAAATCCGTATGAAAAATAATCAAATTAGATCTGATAAATAATCTTTTTCAAACTTGTGTTAAAAAAAACACTCGTACTTTTTGCTGGTTGTCACATTCCTAATCTAGGGAAGGTGCGATATACCATAAATTTGATACATAACATTATTCTTCTAACAATCTGCAAGTCATTATAAATATTTGATACATTTGAGTTGTTATAATGACGATAATTGAGAAAAATTAACGCTAAGCGTAGTTAATGAATCAGAGCATTTGAAACCTCGAAAAGCACGTAAAACGGACACTCGACATGTTTTTATAGATGTTTTTATAATCTGAAATTCAATTAAGTTGCCATGTGTAACATCGAAAGAACTTGCATGTAACAAGATCCGGCGGATAAACGATAAGAAATTTTACTCATCAGTCCTCCTGCAGTTATCGCACAAGGCTCCGTGCGTCGAAGTATGAAAATGTTGAAAAGTTTCATGGCTTTTTACCGAGCTCGCGCATCAAACATTGCGCACGTTTACACGTACTTGCCAAAAACCGAATAGATGAATTTTTCCAAGAGATGAAAAACATTGCGTCGCGAATCCAGTCGTCGGTGCTATGTTATTGCCCAAGTGCGCAATCATCTGAAAATGGTTTTAACGAGATCCAACGAACATTATGCCCGTGTCGAACCCCGCTCGCAATTTATAGCCATGGCAACGAACAAACGTTAATTTTGACCAGATAGTAAGAGCCACCGTGATCGATGCGGCATATATTGCGTGATATTACGTTTCATGGGTCAGCAAACGGTGTACGACAAGCGCGAAGCTCGCTTCGTTGCTGCTGCACGTAGTTCGTCGAAAAGCGGCGCGAATTCGTATGCGCGGTATATCAAACTTTCCCGACGATATTTCTTTAACTATGCGATGCGCGCACGCATGAGTAAGCCGCCATCAGCGCGCGTAAAAGTGGTATAAACGCGAGTAGTCCTGGGGTGAAAGATGCAGAGCACTCGTGCGAGACGTTGAGAAGAACAAGCAAATAAGTTTACTGTCAGCGCATTCTTATCTTTATTTCAAAGTAAACATTCTGATGAAAATACAAAAGAAACCAGCGGCGTTGTCGCGCCGGGCATCATCATAAATAATTGACAATCTATCGCAACTTATCGTAAGAGCCACGTTTAAGTACGAAAAGTTTTACATAAATTATCCATAGTACAAAAATATCAAGTTACACACATGTTCGCGTATGATTCATAAATATATAAAGATACGTATAGAATTTGTATATAGGAAAGGAAAAGTAATGGTCGACGAGAGGAAAAGTAAGAAGCGACGGATCTTACCACGGTGACAGCGCTTTACAGTGCACACGGACACACGAAAAATGTCAACATCTATTGAAATGCAGGAATTACGTAGGGATGGATGGGGCAGGGGGGGACGAGTAGCCTTGGACTTTCGTCGAGGGCACGTCAACTCCTTACGGCTTTGCGAGGCTTTTGCGACCGGAAACGCGGGGCACGTATAGACATCTCATCTACTTCGTTCGATCAGCGGACACCCACGTTGCATATCGCCTTTGTATTTGGTCATACACTTACAGGAGGGACTAAACACATCATGGAGATAAAACGGGTATACTTTAAATATTGCATTTAACTCTGTATCACATCATTTGTCTTTGAAACATTGGTCTAGCTAAACTGAGTAATATTTAATACGTCTTTCCTTACGTTTCTTTTTCTATTTTCTGTTCTCGTCCCTTTCTCTCTCTCTCTCTCTCTCTCTCTCTCTCTCTCTCTCTCACTCTCTCTCACGTTCTACATTGCGTTCTGCTTTTCCGCGCGGGGAGGTGCACATCGAACACGCAAAACACTTAAACTTTGAACGATCACTAAGAAGTGTTGAGGATTCATTGTTGTTAATCACAAATTTGTTTTTCTTCTCGCTTAAAACTACTTATTCAATTGACTTAGAATATCGACGATAAGTTACATTATCCGCATATAATCCTATATTTCAACTATCCGAAGAAGCTCTTCGCGACCTTCAAAGCTTGACAAAAAGAAGGATAAAAGATCTAAAATTAAATTCTAAACGCCTAAACGTTGTTCAATAATTAAAAAAAAAAAAAGATCAAGGAAAACCAACAAAATTTTCGTCTTGTCATCAACGTAGGCCTTGAACAAATATATATGTGTATACGAGCTTTAGTTGCTCACAGCTTTTGTCGATACTCGAGTAAAACTCATCATATATAGAAAAATATCATTTTCTATTCATCGATAAATATATGTACAATAAACTTCTTTTGATTTACTTTATTTTTGATTTCGACTTGCATTTAATAAAAGGACGTCGCATCACAAAATATATATCTTAAGGCCTCGTGTCAAAAATTCGTTAAATCACCGTCAGCTCTCGCGCACACTGCAAGTATATATAGGCCTTATACAATATAGGAGGCGCGCAGCTGGCCATAGCATGTTATTACGGGGCTCTGGCGCGTCTCGCTTTTTTTTCTTACTAATTGACTGATATCCGAGAGTGTCTATACGAGCTACAAGCTTAAACTCATTGGCAGAGAAATCACAGCTGTCAACAGAATTCTTATCAACTCGAAACTATATACACCGAAACGAAAATAGTTCGTCATCGTAGTTCATCGGCTAGATTGCGCGGCAAAGACGAGGAATCGCGCTGGCGAACACGTCGCCTCGCGATACTTTACGAGTGCGACGCGCGTCAAGGACGACCACGGGCGCACGTTTTACGCCGAGCGCTCGGCACAGTTGCACTTTCCGACCGGCGTGTCGAACTTTTTTCATTTATATACAGACGAGCAGACGAGGAACAAGTAAACTACGATATTCAACGGCTAAAGCCGCTCGCGCTGAACGACGGGAAAAAGGGTGGGCCAGGGGGGCGCGGGGAAAATATTGAACACAATCGTATGGCTCCAGCGCTCGATAGACGTATTCGCGCGCACGTCCAAAGCCACATCTATGAGTCAACGCGCACACGGATAGACAGACAGACACAGACGGACAGAAAAACAGACAGGTTGCAGGCACGCCTACAGGTAATATCCATACGGAAAAGACAGAGGAGAGAGGCGCTGGGCTCAAGCGAGCTTCTTCAGTCGCGGCATGATCTTGGGACACTGGGCTCCGTGGACGGACCAGTGCTGCGCCTGGCAGGCCTCGTTGCAGTAGAAGCTGGTCTCGCAGCCGAGGCACTCGAAGCTGGAGCCCGGCGCGCCGCAGTTGGAGCAGCGCAGGCTCTGCGCGCCGCTCGGGCTGCGACTCACCTCGCCCAGGCTCGGCGTGAGACAGTCGCGCGCGTACTTGCCGTTCGACTGCTTGGCGTGGGAACCCGCCACCGCCGCCGCTGCCGCCGCCGCTGCCGCCGCCGCCGGTGGTGACGACGACGACGACGACGACGACGACGAGTAGTGGCTGATCGGGATCGCCGACGGCGTCGACGTTCCTAGAAATGGGCAAGCTCCCTCGTTATCTCTTTCACGCCGTCTTCCACGGGGAGAACTCGAGTCGAGCAGAGACGCAGGCCGAACGAGGAAAACGACCGCCTTCGTTGGCTGCTGGGTAAAACGTCATTTTCTCGACAAAAGTGTGTTTGCCGAGCAGCGATATGCCGGGCAAAGAGTCCGCATTCCCCAACGCGATAAACGCGGCCGTTTACTTTCAACGAACCAACGAAAAGAGAAAACGAAAAAATAAAAGAAAAAGAAGAAAAAGAAGAAAGAAAAGCTATTAAGAAAAATAAGTTCCGCTGTTTAAACGCGCGTGTCCTACTTTCCTGCGAAGCTTATACTTTTCACGCCGTTTCCTTATCGCCAACAGCTTTCGGGGATTCACGAGTGCGCGAGAAATCGTGAAAAAACAATTGCGCGAAGAGAGAAGACAGAGCGAGCAAGAGAGGGAGAGAGAGGCGGACGCGTGCGTAAATCGCGACGGCCGGTGCGCTTCAAAGTGAAGTGCAGAATCCCGTGACGCAAGCGATCGAACGACAGTCGCAGCGAAGACGGCAACGACGACGCTGAGAGAAGCGAAATGCAATTGGCGCTCGACGTGGAAGCGACGGGCGTGCGGCAATGTGGCAACGCGTAGCTGGGGCCAGAAGCGGCGGAAGGATGAAAGGGCGACGCGTTACGAACGAAGCTCTCACCGTTCCTCGTCGCGCTCTGCGCTTGCGGTTGCTGCTGCTGCTGGACGTAAGCTTGGGGCTTACTCGGGGCTGCGACTGCCCTCGCCGCAGCCTGTTGCTGCTGTTGTCTGGTGGCTTGCTCGGCCGCCGACTGCTGCTGCTGCTGCTGCTGTTGCTGATGACGATAGTGCCTCTGCTGCTGCTCGTAAACCTCTTTGAGTCGCGCGGCCTGCTCGGCGCCGAACATCGGATTGGCGTAGTCGGCCAGGCTGGCGCGTCTGCCGTACCGGGGATCCGGTGCGGTGGTGGCTTGCGGCCCCGGCGGCGGCGAGTAGAAGTGGTGGTGGTGGCGCTGAGCCGGTGCTTGGGGCGTCGGTAGGGCCAGCGCCGCGCCGCGCTTGTCCGGCTCCCACTGCGGCTGCACTCTGGCCAACGGCGATTGGTTAGGCGCCAGCGGGATGAGCGGCGGCACGCGGCTTTGCGACGTGATGGTGGCCGGGGCCTCCAGCGCACCGCCCGACAGGCGCGCGTAGGTGATCGGCGCGGCGTACTGATAGGCGCTCGGGAAGCTCAGCGCCGGAGCCTTCTGGTAGAGCTCCAACTGGCAATGCGACAAGCGACAGGGCGGCGGTCAAGAGCGGGCGAAACGAAACGACGCCCCGTAGGCGCGACGACCTTACCGGGAACTTGTGCGGATAGGGTAGGGCCATGGCGGTCGGATAGTAGGGCTGGTGGCGTTGCGCCGCGGCGACCTGGCTGGCGCTCGGCTGCGCCTGATGTACCTGTCGCGCGGGCGTCTCGGCGCCGCCGGCCGGCGGCCAGCCTCGCACGGGCACTCCGTTGGTCGCGTAACTGGTCGGCACCGCGGGCGGCAACTCGCTGCTGGCCGCCACGGGCATCGGCTTATACACTGTCGGCACGGCGATCTGCGGCATCGCCGAGGTTGGTGAGAAACGTTGGCGCGCGCGCGGGGGCCGCGCGATTGCACCTACCTGGTAGTAAGCCTGCTGCGAGTGCTGCCGACCGTCGCCGGCCTCGTTCTTGTTCAGCGCGACGCCCCCCTCGCTCGTCTGCCTCTTCACTATCGCGTCCACCCACATGCGCAAGCTCGGGAATTGCTCGGCCAGCAGTCGCTGCTGGTGCTGCTGATTCTGATGGTCCACGCTGCCGTTCACGCTCGCCGCCGCCTGTTCCAGCAGCTTCAGGCCCGGGGTCTTTATCTCGCTCAGCACTTTTGCCTGGTGCTGGATCAGCGCTGGCTGGGACTTGGCCGCTGCGATATCTTGCGGCTTCACCTGCTTGCGTCGGCACACGCGGACATGGATTTCGTGAGCACTCGGTCGATTGTGAATTTCGCTGCGTTCGACGTGCCCATTCGCGTCGCGTGCAATATGAAACGTGCCAGACGAACGGCAGCGACGGATACCCGGTGAGGGCTAGTTTCTAGAGAGGTGTCTGATGCACTGACTTGATCGGGCGTCACGGCGCTCTCGTGTACCCTCTGCACGGCTAGCGCGTAGTCGCCTGGCAGCGACTGTCTCTCGTTGACGATACTCGACATCGACTTGTCGTGCCACAGCGCACGGTAGTCGTGAGTGCGAACGATACGCTCGGTCAGATTTGTCGACTGCTCGAGGTGCTGAGCCACTATCCCACCTGGTGACCAAATCGTTGCCTCCGGTACGTAAGGATAAATTTGTGGCGCTTGCTGAGCTAATGGGAATACTTCGCGACTACTGCGCTGCGGCGACGATGGCAACTGCTGCTGTTGCTGCTGCTGTTGTTGCTGTTGTTGCTGTTGCTGCTGCTGCTGCTGCTGCTGCTGCTGCTGCTGCTGATGATGATGATGATGATGATGCTGATGATGATGCTGCTGCTGATTCTGTTGTTGCTGCTGTTGCTGCTGCGGATGGATCAACGGTTGAGCGGGCAGGAATGCTGCCGCTGCCGGCCAGTGACTTGACACGTCCGACACTGAAATGCGAACGACAGAGTTGGTTTTGCGTCTTCCGGCCGAGCGAGCCCAAACGCTTGCCCCGTCTCGAAGCTCCGGCGCGCATAAATGCATCGCGTCGGTCGGCAATGACGCAAAAGACAGAAACAGGCCGAGTTCGGTTTGGCCCGAACAACAGTTGGGATCCATTGCACTTTATGAAGTGCGGCTTCGTCGACTTGCACGGCCGAAGATTGGATTGTCGAGATTGCACTCGCGAAAGATGAGTAAATAAGTTTTCAGCGGCGCAATTCTGCTTTTCACGGAACGCGAGAGTCGCGCTCGGGGCTTCGCCAAGGTAATTGGCGATCCCGATGCGGCGCCAGTTTCACGTTTGGCTTAGAATCGCGTTCGCGTTTGGCCTAGAATAGAGAAAAACATCCGCTGCAGATCAAATCGGAATTTAATTAGCAGTATATTCGAGCTCGCGCTCGCGCGCATTGATTTGAAAATTCATCGTGGAAATTGCGCGCAGGGCTGGCCGTATTATTATTATTTGGTGTATTGTGCTCTTCCTTTAATCTCACTTCGCGAAGCCCGCTCGGCAATTTCAATAGGTATTATTCAGGGTATAGCATGTATCGGCGCTATTCAACAGCATTATTTCCGGTACGCGGTCGATTCGATTCTTCATTTAAACAAGCTTCATTCCCAAAATTAATAAATAAATAAATAACGCGATCAAATGAGCCGCGTTGCTTTTCGTCTCGGACGAAGGCATCGAATGAATTCAAACGCATAAGTTCAATTGTGTTCGGCGGTCACAAGTCGATTCAAACTTTGATTAAATTAATGTATACGATTCTCTACTTTCATCAGCAGCAGTGCTAAACTTCGAAGCCATGGCTACTTCAATTGGATGTAAATCAAGTTAGAGAGAGAGAGAGAGAGAGAGAGAGAGAGAGAGAGAGAGAGAGAACGAGAGAGCAACGTAGGGAGTAGGGAGGGCTCGACATGCTAATCGAGTATTCTAGCGAATGCTTCGTATTGTTTCCTGCACGAGGGGGTAAAGTAACGATATTGCCACTCGTGGCTAATTTCTTTTTAATTGCCGCTGCGCTTCCGAGTGAAGAATACTCTTCTTTTAATTAAATCAACGGAGTCGGTGTCGAACTGCGCGAAATTGAAAAAAAAAAAAAAAAAGAATATAAAACGCGCTATCAATGATACAGTGGTGACAAAAGGAAACGAGAAAGCGAGGAAATCGGATCAAGGGCTTTCCGCATCGACGTCATACTTTCTCCTATGTACGGAGATGCGCATGTCGTAATAACGTTGCGCCGCATGAAGACGTAATGCAACGGCCCCGGTAATCCGATACATAATTATTTTGCTCCGGCGCATTCAAGCGGACGAGCAATTAAGGGGCAGGGAGGGCTACGGGGAGCGGTATCGGCGGGCCCTCATTGTTTCGCTATTAATTTCGAGATTCGTCGGAGGCCTTCCTATATCGGATATTCGCGCGCTGTCCCAGCGATGCCGCGGCGGCTCGGCGTTCAAATTCCAAAGGGCATGGGCGGTAAAGAGAGGATGGGCAACCTCGTCTCCGTTTCCTGCGATCCTCTTTGATCAGCTCCTCCTGCGAGGCCGATCTCTTGGTGGCCAGATCGAGAGGCCTCTTGTCCGCGTCGACGGCACTGGCGCCGGGCTGCGACTCAACCCACGCCCCCGGCACGAGAGCCTCGCGCGGGCTGTTGGCGGGCACCCGCGCGGCGCTGGTTCGCGGCGCCGCGCTCAGCTCGTCTATCAGAAAACTGGAGTAGCCGCGCTTCTGTTGCTGTTGTTGCTGCTGCTGATGATGATGCTGCTGCTGCTGCTGCTGCTGCTGCTGATGCTGATGCTGCTGCTGCTGATGCTGCTGCTGCTGATGTTGCTGTTGCTGACGCTGATAATGCTGTTGCGCCGAGGCTCGTGGCTCCACTATTACGCCATTCACTGCTTTCTGCGACAAGATAAAAAGGCCGGGTTTCCTTGATCACGCTCGGGTTCTGCGCCAGTCAATTGCGACTCGAATGACTTGGGACGCGGGCAGACGAAGCTGCGACGCCAAAGAGGCAGATAACCGAGTGTAATTGGTGGCCGAGCGAGAGAGAGAGAGAGAGAGAGAGAGAGAGAGAGAGCAGTGAACGAAGAGCGCAATCGAGCGAGCGCGTACTCGCGATCGACGATCAAGAAAGAAGACGCTTAGAAAGCCGGCAGCTGATTAAACTCGCGGCACAAAGAGCCGAGATGAAGCACGGCACGCAGCGCTCGCTCGCGATAAGCATCTTTCTAGAGCGCGAATCGCGATTTAACTCTCGCCTCGGGATGTATCTTATCTGGCGTCTTATCGGAGGCTCGATCGGTCGAGCTGCGGGCGAGGAGACGCAGAAGTGAGCGGAGGACTGATAAGGAGAGCGGCGTTGAGACTCACCGCGGGCCGGACGACGTAGCCGGTCGGTCTGTCGAGCTCCCTCGGGATCGCTGCGTAGTAGCCGTTGGGCGTCCTCCTCTGCGGCTCCGCCAGCGGCGACGCCTGCGACGCCTGCGACGCCTTGCCCGCCTCGCCAGAGCTGCGTTCGAACAGAAGAGCACGGGGCGTTATCGCGAGCCGACGCTTCGCCGAGTCCTCGGCGCCCAGTCCTCGGACGCGCTTTTCGGGCGCTGTTTACTCGATCTCGCCGGGAGCGCTACACGTGTTAGCTATCGCGCCGCGCTGGACTGATAAGCGCGAGCGAGTGGCTCTGCCTCCGATAGCGCGGGCGAGAAGCAGGGCGAGAGCCAGTGCAGCGCAATCGCGCCCGATAAGAGACACTCACCGCGCGGCTATCTTGTCGCTCGGGCCGACGGCAGCCTCCTCGGCGACCCGCCGGCACTCGTCGGCGGACGAGCGCCTGCGCGCTGGCGGCGGCGGCGTCGGCGCGGCCGCCTCGTTCTCGTCGTCGTCGTTGTCGTTGTCGTCGTCGTCGACGTCGTCCTCGCCGTCGTCGGCATCGTCGTAGACCTTGTCCTCGCCGGTCTCCTCGCAGTAGGCGTCGAAGCGCTCGGCCGACGTCGCCTCGCTGAGCTTGCGCAGCTTGGCGGACAGGTCGTTGATGCGCGCGTCGCAGTCGTCGATGATAGTCTGGAACTTGGGCCGGTCGGCGCTGTCCTCGGGCAGCACGCTGCGCGACGCGTCGATCTGCGTCCGCATCTCGAGCGCCTGGGCGCGCAGCTCGCGGAACTTCTCTCGCAGCTGCTCGCGCCGCACGTACCAGCGGCGCCGGCGCTCCGACACGCTCACCTCGCTGCCGCTGTGGCTGCTCGCCGCGTTCGACTTGCACGGGCTGCTCTCGTGCGAGGCCGTCGTCAGGATGATCTGCACCTCGTCGGCGTCCTCGAGGCCGAGCAGCGGCATCGAGCGCACCGACAGCTTGTCGCTGCTGCTCGCCGGGCTCGGCGGTAGGTTGACTGGCTCGGACTTGCCGCCGCCGCGGCCGCTGCCCGCCGGCTCGGGCGTGGGCATGGTCTGGCCCGGCATCTTCGCGTTCAGTGGCACTATCGTGGGGTACTTGCTGCAGTAGGCAGAGATAGAGAGAGAGAGAGAGAGATCAAGGGCGAGCAGCGGCGTCCGGTCGATCGACGCGATACCAACCAGTCGTTGGAGAGCACGTAATTGACGATGAACGGTCTGCTGGCCGAACTGTCCTGCGCCACGTTGATCCTCATGTCGGTCCGCGTCTCTTTGATGCCGAGCTCGGGTATCGACGGGATGACGATCTCGATGCTCTTCGGCTCGTCGCCGACGACTCTCTCACCGCCCATTTTCAGCTCGTTCAGCGTCGTCGGTTCGCCACCTGACGCACTCGTCGACTCCTTGACGATACAGTACTTTGACTCGTCTTCGCTTTGCCTCTGCTCTGCCTGTGGCTGAGACTGCTGCTGCTGACCAGCCGCGGCTAGCTTCTTCAGTCTCAGCGGCGGTACCATTTTGGTGGCGTCCACGACGATGTCCTTGATGATGCGCGGCCCATCGCCGTTGCGCGCCGCTGCCGACAACGAGCAACTCTCCGCGTTCTGGCTCGGGTATCTCTTCGGCTGGTATCTCGGCTCTTTGGCTGAAATTCATACGCAGTGCGATTAAACATCGTTGCCACGTTGCACGACTGTCAGCGTGACCGTGTCGGCAATGTGAAAAGGCCAATTAGCGCTCGCGTCCGTTGCGTTTGTTCGAGCAGACTGCCAGCGACGTCGCCGCGATGATCGGGCTAACAGTGGCATCGTCCCGGGTAAATCGCCCCGGTACCGCTGATTAATGTACTGCCAGTGTGAACGGTCGTTGAGCGCGGTCGTTGAGCGCGGTCGTTGAGCGCGGGCGTTTCCGACGGGACGGGCGTTTGTTGTGGTAACGCTAACTTCTATCGTTCGACGATCAGGGCCGTAATTGCGGCCAAACGAACGATCGATTTTCGATCGGCGCCCAGCCTCGATCCTGCCCGCCGACGAAAGTTATTGCGGGAAAATGAAGAAAGTTTGGATCGTCGCGTCGGTCTAGTGTTGCCGCTGTCGCTGTTAGCGAGTCACGACGTCGTGTTTCCGCGAACGCGTGCTTCACACACATCCACACACGTCCGCACGGCGCGTACGATAATGGTGCGCGGGCCGCGAGGGGCGAGGGGAGGGGGAGGTTGTCCCGATAATATGCGCTGGCGTTGATTCCGCGCCAGTGGCCGCGTAATTGTTCGACGAACGGCTTCCCCGAGCGAGGCGCGACCTCGGAAGCGACACCCGCGTCGGTGCACGAGGGCGACGTGCTTTGGCGCCTTGGCGCGCAGTTACGTAATGCCGCGACGGGCGGCCACTCACGCGTCACCTGCGCCATCGACCCTGAATCACCTTCGCTTGGACGTGGCGCCCGCGTCCGCGCGGACGCCGGCCGTGGCGCGGAGGCGAGCTGGCGGCAGGGCTGTGTCCCTCGTGGCGCGCACGTGCCCCGCGGACGGATCGCAGCAGCGGTTACGTGGCCGCGCGTTATCGCTCGCTCCCGCGGCACTTGTCGCGGCGACCGACGAGCGCGAGGACACGCTCCTCTTGACGGCTCGCCCGAGCAAAAACTGCAGCGGGCCGCGCGGCCCGCGAGCGCCGCGCGTGTACGTACGTTTGGGAGCGCGCCTCGCTCGGCGCTCGAGTGGGGCCGAGGCGCAGGCGGGAGGAGCGCGGCCGAGGCGCTGATAAGCCGCGACGATAAGCGATTCGCTCGCGCTCGTATAAAAGCCGCGACGGGCGGCGCGGACCTCCTCAGTCGCCCGCCTAAGCCCGGCGAGCCGGTCCGCCGAGCGTAGATCCGAAGATCCGAGTCTCGAGGCGTCCCGCGCGTCGGCCGTCCGATCGCGAACTCGCTGTCTCCGCGAACGCGCGCGCTTACCGTAGTCCGAAGCGGCGCTCTCCCTCCGTCGATGGTCTTGGAGCTCGGCGGTCGCTGCGGCGCCACCGGAGCCGCGGTCGTCGCACGGCAGCAGGCGACGCTGTTGCTGTGGCTGAGGTCGGCAGTGGGTGCGGCGCGGCACCGGCGGTGCGGGCCGCAGCGGCAAGCTCCGGTTCGGCTGCACGGAGCAGTCCAGCGCCGTCGCGGCGTGGCTGATGCTCGCTGCCGGCAGGCGCGCCGCCGGCTCCCGCAGCATCGTCGTCGTCGTCGTCGTCGTCGTCGGCGTCGTCGTCGGCGTCGTCGTCGTCGCCGTCGTCGTGGCCGGCGTCGAGGGCTGGCGCCGTCGGCCGGCGCCGTGCTGCGTGTCTGCTGTGGAGGCGAGTGGCTCGTCAGTGCCCGGCGGCTCGTCGCCGGCAGCGGGTCGAGCATCGCGGGCGGCCGGGCGACCGCGGACGGGGCTCCCGGGGCTTGTGGCGCGGGGCGCGCGCGCCGAGCGACGTCAGGCGGCGGTGCGCCGCTCGCGGGTGGGGGCGCGCGGACGAGGACGATCGCGTCGGCACCCCTCCGTTCACCTAGTCTCGCGGCCGGCTGCTCCTCGGGGCCGCCCCTCGTCTAGCCTGGCGTAATTGCTTCCGGCCGTCGCGGCAGCCGGCCGCGCGGTCGCGACGCTCTCTCATAAATGCATTAACCGAGCCGCGCTAAAGTATAACGCGCCGAACGCGCCGCGCGGGCTCTGTCCGCTCGTCTTCCCCGGACCCAGGCCCATTTATTATTGACGCGCGCGTCTTCTCTTCCGCAGATTTCGCCCGCGCCCGCCTCAATCATTCACGAGCGCGGCCTTTGTTTTTAGCCCCGCGCCAATGTATTTTTCAAATGTTGCCCCGCGCTCCCCTCCCCGCTCGCGCCACGTAATCGCTCTATTAAGCCCGATTACATACGCGCCGCGCGCGAGCGCTTTGTTGGTTCTTCCGGCAAACAGCGACGGTCTGCTCGCTCTCTCTCTCTCTCTCTCTCTCTCTCTCTATTTTTATTTGCCAAATGATTTCACGCGAATCTCGCTGATCGACGCGATCCCTCTTCTATTTTTGCGGACACGCTCGAACGACGCTCCGACTAGTCCTAGGAACGACTTCGCGCGCGAATCTCTCGACGGCTTGTTTGCTTGTTTGGTCGCCGTGATTCCGCCGCTCATCGCGAAGTCGCGAGGTAAAAGTAGCCATGGAGCGGAAGAGAGACGACGAAGTCGAGTGCGGCGCCGATCGGGACAGTCGCGCGCAAAGCCACGCGTTTTCCGTCGATTTTCGCCGTCGGACGCGTCTCGGCTGGCTCTTGCCCCGGCGACTAGACGTCGTTGTCGTTACAACCAGCGTACGGATGAATAATGGAGACGTGTTCGCCTTCGAGCGCGCGGCCCTGGTTAACAATTCACGTTTCTCGCAATTGCAACTAAACGCCCGCGAGTATGCAGTGCGCGCTGCAGCGCTCAGCGGCGCCTGCAATTATTTATGACTCGCGCACGACGGCGGCCTCCGGGACCGCCTCGAACCGGGTCGGGGCGCAGCCGGAGTACTGCTCTCCCTCTCGGGCGTCGCGCCGAACGAAGCGCATCCGCGCCCGACTATCGCCGCCGGAACGCGAACGCTTGCTTCCCGCTGAGATTCGAGCGGCGGCCCCTCCGCCGCGCGCGCGGCTACAACGATCACCGTGCCGCGCGTTTATATCTCGCCGCGCGCGACGGCTATTGACTTGTGTCATCGCTAAGCGCGTCGCCGTGAAATACAAACAAACCTTCGGTATTACTTACTCATCCTCGAGCGCAGCCGCGTGTTTGCCTCATGAATTCCCAGAGAAAACACGATGCTTTCGCGCTAACGCGAAAGGTTATTTGTAAGTCACGCGGCGATGTCGGGGCAGGAGGGGGGGGGGGGGGGGGGAAGCTTTCGTTCGCTGCAAGGCGACGATCACGGCGGAAGATAACGGAGACGCTGCGATCGCTGAAACTTGCGCGCATTCGGATCGCAGTCGATCTCTCGCGTTGCTCGCCGTCAACAGGCCCGCGCCGTCTAAGCAGAGAACCAAACTGGCGTTTCTTTATATACAGACGAAAATAAAAATACAGACGATAAGCTGAAATTATCGGCGGGGCGTAATGATATCGGCTTAATGCGATGCAATCATGCTCAATTAGGGCTCGTCTCTCTCTCTCTCTGCGGGCTGTAGTTACGGCGCTCGAGGTATATAAGCATATCGCTCGATTTTTCTCCTGCTTCTTTTTTTTCTTGTCTGCCGTGCGCGCAACGGTTATTCGAAGCCGCATCGAATTTCCTCGATAATTATTTTGGGCGTTTACAGTCGGCCGGCAATTAAAATCGGAAGCTCGATCGTCGGGGAGTAGGGAGTCGCCGTGAGCCGGAATAATTGGACGCGACACGCGCCGCGGTCCGATTGGCTCTCTCGAGCGAGTAATTTTATAGAGCGGGACTCACGCGCGAGAGCCGACGGGGAGCGCTTCGTAATAACGCGGCAGTTTGAAAAAGAGGAATAAAAGAAAAACGGAAAGCCGACGGATCGGCGCGAGGCAACTGTTGTTCGCAGGTGGAGGCGAGTCGTCGCCAGGACGAGGTAACGTCGCGCTCGGGCGCGAGAGTCGGTTGCGCGTCGACGAGGACGGCGAGGACGATTCGAACGGAGCGCACTCGACGCGCGCGCAACGGACCCGTCGGCCATTATATAAAATACACACGTAGGCAATATACGCTATCGGGCGTAATTGCACTCGTTCGCTCGCGTTATCTCGGGCCATTACCCTTATCTCAATCCCTTAATAAGTATTAGCATTGGACTATCATTCGGGTCATCGCGCGACTCCGTACGCGCGGGAAAGGCTAAAAACGTCGAACGCTCGTCGATGCGACAATTTCGCGTAATTGGCGAACGTCGCTCGGCAGAATGTGACGTCATTAACCCCGTTGCGATGGCCACGTCAGCGCAATTTTGCAATTTTGCAGATAGCGCGTCAGCCTAGTTCTTCTGCCTCTAGCCGCTCGGCATTTTCGCGTCGCGATAACGAGCAGCTCTAATTGCGAATCCTTCTGCTGCCCGCGCTCGATTATTCCGCGACAGCTCGGCCGATGCGATCCAGCATCTTGCTGGAAACATCTCGCGCGGAGGTCGTGCCGCTTACGCGGAAAATCTAGCGATCGCGCGCAAGCTCGCCTTTCCAAGTGCGCGCAGCTTTTATCTCTCGCTCTCTTCGTCGGTAGATCCGAGCGGCTATAACCCGTGTGCCGTGAATAAATGATAAACTCCTCTCTCTCTCACTCTCTCTTTATCGCTCTCTGTGTATAGCTTTACGCGAGCAAGTTAGCTGCCTCAGTTTCCTTGCCTGCGCGTCGTTCGAGGGGCGGAGGAGGGAAAAAGTTGCACTCTGTTGACTATCGAAACGACTAGGAAAGTTCTTGTAGCTAATGAAAATACAATAAAGCCGATCGATTGATTCGGCTTGTTTTATTTTTTTTTTCTTCCGTCCGTCCTCCCTCTTCCTTCCTCATTTCTTTTATTCTTCCAGCGCGCGGGCCAATTGTTTGGCGACACGCGATTAACTTTGGATCAGGACGATCGCGTGTCGCTACCGTGAAATTATCGACGCGGTATAAAATAACGCGCACTGTAGCACCGATATCCACGCGGAGTTTTATCGGCGTGGACGTGAATCGATGAGTATTGTTATTTTACGCGTCCGTGCGGGACGCGCGCGTGTTCTATCGTGCGCGCCTGCACAAAAGAGCCGAGATACGCGAGCGCGCACTCACATTTTTGCGCGAGCGACGTGCGCACTCGCGCGCGTACACGTGACGCGCGGCGCACCAAGCAAGAACGGCGACGAACGGCCCCGCGGCACAAGGGCGACAGGGAAAAATCTAGGCCGTCGCGCGGCCAACCTCTCGTCGAGAGCTCGAGCGTGCCGCTCGCGACGGGTCCGCGCGCTTTCGCGGCCACGTGTCGCGCTCCTCATCCCTCGTCTGCCGTGCCGGCTGATTTGCTCGCGGAGCAACGAAATGCAACCGATCGATCTGCCTCGACAATCGAAACATTTGCATTTTAATGGCCTGCTCCCGTGAGCGCGGGGCCTGCGAGAGCGAACACGTAAAACATTGCGTCTTCGGAGAAGGAACGGACGGCGCAAAGGCGCCCGATAGAACAGCGCTCGCGCGGATGCGGTCGCCAGCTTTATTATCGCTCGTAGATTATCGGAGCTGACTTCACGACGAAAATATCCGGACGGATGAGCGTTCGCTGCCCGAGAGGCGCTCGCCTCCCGCGCGTCCGGTCCCGGCCGCTCCTCTCGGACTTTCGCGAGCGCTCGCGCGACCAAGTCAACTTCCCTCGGCTACGGGCGCTCGTTTGACCGCGCGCGCCGCTCGGTACGCACGCCAATCCCCGCCGACAGCGCGCGCGCGACGCGTCGAAGCTCACCTGTGGCGCAGACTTGGCTGCTCTCTTCCGGCGCGACCACCAGCTCCACCATGTCCTGTCACTTGGGCTGGCGCCTCACTCGCCGCAGCTGCTCGGTCGCACTGACCAGGGGCCTCATCCGAGCGCCCCTGCTCCGGCCGCTCCTCGTCCGCGCAATCTTGGCTGGCGCTACGACTGCTCGGCGGGCGCTCGCTGCTCACTCGGGCGCGCGCTCGCGGCGGCCCGTCGTCATCGCGCGCACTTCACCGGCGCACCAGCGCGCGCGCGCCCGCCACCACCGCCGCCGCGGACTCACTCGTCGAGGCGGTACGAGCGGCGCCGGTACAGTCGCAGCTTGAGCACGGCCACGATCAGGTGCAGCCGGTCGCTCTTGTCGTTGCTCGAACGCGGCGTGTCGCTGTGGCTCTTGCTCGGCGCGGCTGCGATGCTTCGGCGTATGTTGCTCGGCACAGTGCAAATCATCGTATCGTCGATCGCGCGCTGGCTGGCTGGCTGGCTGGCTGGCGCTGCGGCGAGTGCGGCGCGCGACACGCGAATGTCAGCCGCGTTCCGAGCTCGACTGACGTATCTCCGAGCCCGCGCGCCGGACTGACTCGCGAGCTCTCGCGCGCAAGCGCCCCGCCGACGCCTCCCCCATATCCATGTGCGCCACGTGGTGGTCAAAGGTCGCCTCGCTCTCTCTCTCCCCGTGGCGGGCTCGTCTGCCCCGGTCCGCCGCCGCCGCCGCCACCGGGTGCATCCGATCGCCGCGAGATCTCCGCGGGGACGCGGCGGAGCTGGGATTCGGGCGCGCGCCGTGCCCGTCGGCCTCGGCGAGTCCCAACGACGACGCGGGCGACGAGTCGGACCGCGGCCTGCGTCGCAAAAGCCGACGCGCGATAACGCGCTCCATTCACTCCGAGCGCCTTACGTAAGCGAACGCACGGCCGAAACATTGCGCACATGTCGAATCAAGACGATTTTTCGACGATCGCGACTCGCTTCTGCGCGCGAGCCGCGTGTTTGTGCGCGTCGGCGAGGGGTCGCGGAGGGGAGCGACGCCGAGACAGATATCGAAGACTTTTTCTTTCCCCTGGTTAAATATTGATCGTCGAGCTTGTACAAGCGCAATCACTTTTTTGTTGATGTTGCTGCTGCTGCTGCTGTTGTTATCGGCTGAAGGAAGAAAAACGAGCGATCCTCGCTGGCGTGCGCGTGTACGTCGTTACAGAATCATGCGCGATTGGTCGGCATTTATTTTATTGCGACGCGTTATCGCGCCTCGTTGTCTATTCGGTGAAAGGTCGCGCGAATTGGGTAAATCAGGGAGACTTTTCACTCCGTTTCAACGCCGATCGAGCTAATTTTAATTGCGACTTATCGCCGACGAGAAGCGCACACATACTTCGACGAGGAGCTTCCGGGTCAGAGAGGGAGGGAGGAGGGAGAGAGAGAAACGATAAGAGCGCGAAAGATAGTGATTAGAAGATGATGAAACAGAACGTTTTACAGGAAAGTCTTGGCCACGAAATGTAGGCGTTTTTTGTTATTTAATTACTTTCTGGTAATTCACGTGCGTTGAATTCAAAATTCATTACATGACGGTAGAATTGATAATTATAACGTTTTCGCGTGGAAGTTTATGTATGCACGCTTAGGCGCATATCGTAAGACGCGTGCAAGCCTCTTTTCTTTCCCGGATTAAGCTCAAGTTTACTTACAATTTTCAAACGTGTTATATGAATTTCTCGAGATGCGAAAGCGGAGCGCAAAGAGACAACGCATTTATTGTCCTATTGAATCCCAAAAAGAGCAGTTCAATTTTTTTTTTTTTCGCAAAAGTTAGTAACTTCTACGAAGATTACGTTTGCTCCTGCGAGATCAATTAAACGTACGGCGGTATGGAGGTTTCTCTCGGCCGAACTCCCCCGAGCGTTCGAAGGAAGACAAACGAGCTGCTTCGGAAACGCGAACCCGATAATAATACGATTAGTTTCAAGGAAGAAGACGAGCCCTCATTTTACAGCCGCGAGGAGGACGGAAAACATTCGTAGCGCTACCGGCGAATTATGGACGTTCCAGCGCGAGCAACGATGCTTTTCGCGCAACGCCTCGCGTCTGTTTGACGAGGTACGATCTGCGCTTCGTTTGCTCGCGTCGAACGGTGATTCGATCGTGCGCGTGCTTAGTTTCCAGAGATCAACGCTGTGCGCAATTACCGAAAGAAATGAGCGAGCAAACGAGAGAGAGAGAGAGAGAGAGAGAGAGAGAGACGGAGCGCAAAACAAATCTTATTCGATCGACTTGGTGCTCGGTGGGGTCGAAGTCAGAAGTGCTCGCGCGTGCGGTAATTGCGCAGTCGTCTCTCGATATAGGAGAGCGAGTCGCGCGCCAATCGAATAGTCGTCGCCGCGCGAAACGCGACGTCAGCAGTGCGCTCCTCGCGACTCGTACGAGCCCGACGGCGATCCGAATGCAAACGCAACGACTGGCATCGAAGTAACGAGCATCCCCACGGCTCGCGCGAACGGATACGAGCTTCGCACGTCGAATCGGCAACATTGACTTCGCGTTCCTCTGATTTTAATTAGCCGCGCACCTCGTCATTTTCAGCGGCGCGCCGAGCACCATTATCGACTCGCAACGTCGTTCGCGCTCCTTGCGCCTTCTTTGTTTGTTTGGCCGTCTCTACATAATGGATGCTAATGTGCGCGATGCCAGCTCGTCAGGCCTAATTACGCGCTGGTTAATTGATTTCGCGTATACACACTGCCGCGAGAAATTAATAGGATACGCGCACCTCACGGCGCGTTCGAGTGCTCGTTCCTGTAATGCGCGCGTGCGTGTATGCACGTACGCACGGACACACAGGCTCGTCGATCAATTCGCTCATTAACTATTCACTTTATTCGACGCGCCGCGGCTCGACGAAACTACGCACACATAATGGATCAAACTGCTATTTATTCATCCGGCCGGGCACGTATAGCACTTCAGCTATACGATACGCGATATCTACCGTAGTTCGATCACCGAATAGGTTATCTTCCCTTCGCGTAATAACGGATTTCAATTAAGCGAGCTCTCTCTCTCTCTCTCTCTCTCTCTCTCTCTCTCTCTAACTTTGCCCTACGTCTCATTCCGCATGTGCATTACAATAAAAGAAACGGACAGCTCGATTACTCACCTCTTACTTTTCGATCGACGCTGGCAAATGTATAGTACTCAAGTGTACTTACATTCGCAAATCAGTGCTGCCATTACAACTCGAGAATAATGACATCGCGTGCGAGCGATTACAAACTTTCACCGCGTATTTTGTACATAAGAAGCGCATTTACAGACGATCCGCGACACGAATACACCATCCCGCGCTCTGTTTACAAATACAACAACGTTTTTCTTCTTTTCGTCACACGCGCGATGCAATCGTAAAGCTCACGTGAGCGCGAGGCCAGGTTTTATTAAAAATGCAGGCAAATACAAACTTTACGAGAGAATGCAGCGCGAAACATCGTCTTACGTATTGTACGTGCGTTTTCTTTTCATACGGGGGCCGCTGCATGCTCTCGTGAAAAACCGCCGGTTTACGACCCGACGAACGACAAGGGTAATCCAAGCAGCGGCTCGACGTTGCTCCTCCCGTGCTCGTACCGTGTTATTCCTGTCTGCACTCTAGCGCAGATAAAGCCGATTGCTCGCTCTCGGTTTCTGCCTCTGACTAATCCAGCCGGAGCTTCGGAGCTTCTCCTCCGGAGCTAGAGCTCATTGCCGAAGCTTACGAAAAGTACGGCGCTGATCTCGCTCGGTGAAGCCAAAACCACCGAACTCGCGACGCATCGAGATCTCGCAGCTTAGAGCGACGAGAGAGCGAGCGAGAGAAAGAGGTGTCATCGACATCGGCTTCAAGTGCATTAACACGACGTATCGAGCGGTGTACCCGCGAAAAAGAAAAAAGAAAAGAATAACACAGCCCTCTGCCCGATCTATAGCCGGCAGTTGTATAATTCACAAGGGTTATTTATAGAACAGCCTCGGCTCACCTTGCCCAAGCTCCCCGCAAGCTCTCGCTTCTCGTCGCGGCTATGACAATGCCAGCCAGATTTGTCGGCCGCGCGCATAAGATAATTACCCATGCACATCGCTCGGCTTCTCTTTCCGTCGCCGAGCCCGTCACGTGTGCGCCCAGGGTTCCTCTCTCGCCACGATCACTGTAAAAATAGATGCGCGATTAGCGCCATCTTCCCCAGAAAATCGCTCCGTTCGTGCTGCGTTTTCTTTTTTCTTTTTGTTTTACAGTTGACACGCGAAACGATGTCTCGAACGACAAGTGCGCGAAAGCTGCAATTGTTCGTGTATAGCATAGAATCTAGACGCATACCAATTGCGACTTTGATCGACTATCCTCGCCGCTTTCAGGTAATGTCATAGCAGCTCTTCAGCCCTTTATTTCTCTTCTTATAGTTTCATAGGTTTCTCAGAGAAAGCAAATTGCGCGTCGATCTGCCGCTCATCAATAAAGTCAATTCGGTTGCATGTATCAAAAATTAATACGCACAGCTTTATTTGTTCTCTTTCTTGCTTCTTTTTATATTTACAGAATATATATATATATATATATATATACATATATAATTTACGACTGTTGCAGGCTTGTTATTGGAGAGTCTTCGAGGCTGGTACAATATTGTCAGGAGTAACGCAGAAGAGCGGTGCGGCGCGCGCCAAATTAATATTCGCGAAGGCGCGCGTTGCTTCTCGAGCGCTACTCCGTTCCTCCTGGGGGGGGGGGGGGGGGGGGAGTGAAAACCGAGGCTGACTAGCGATGCCAACCGTGCCGCCGGGCTGACGCGCGGGCTGATTCGCGCCGGGGTGGCATCGTCCCTCCAACGTTGCCCGATTCGTATCGAACAAACGTGCGACGCTGACAGTCGACAAGCCCGCTGCGTCGCGCTGCGCCTGAATGTGCCAGAGACACCGAGTGCCGGCAGCCGCGTTCGGAGCTCCAGCTCGTGGTCCCGCGTCCAGCTGCAAACAAACAAACAACCATTGAGTCTCCGCCTGCTCGCGCTGAACGAGGAGTCGCCGCTGCTCGTCGACGTGGCCGCGAGGTTAGGCGACAAACAAAGAGCGCGAGCTCGCGGTCGGGGGGTTAGAAAGCGTCTCTCGGGCGCGAGCGAGCGAGCGAGCCGAACCTCGCGGAGGATGTCGACCAAATCGGCGGGTTCGCTGTTCCCGGCGGGCGAGTACTCGATTCACAAGCCCGGCGAGTGCCGGCAGGTGTTGAACTGCCGGCCGATACACCTGAGGCGCTGCGCCTACGACGGCAAAGAGGTGAGCGAGCGGGTGCGGGGCTGGCCGAGTGCCGAGTGCCGAGCTAACGCGGCCGCCGGCGTGTGCCAGGTGACGAGGGTGCTGGAGAAGGAGGGCCAGCGCAAGCTGCTGGTGCCGTCGGCGGAGCCCGAGCCCAGGCCGGCCATCATCGCGAGCGGCGAGTTCTCGCGACTGGTGCAGCGCAGTCACGAGCCCACGCGCCAGGAGAGGCAGGCCGCCCTGAGCGTCGCCGAACGGGAGAAGGAGCGCCTGCTGCGGTACGCGCGCCCCGGGCGAGGCGCCCTCGGCTCACTCGATGATCACGCGGGTCTGTGTGTTTGTCCGCCGGAGCAGAGAGAGCATGGCGCGGAAGGAGCGCATCCGGCGCATGGACCTGAGGAGGGCGCGGGAGAAGCAAGCCGGCCGCCTGGACGAGATCGAGGAGGAGGCGAGGCGCCGGACCATGAGCCTGCTGCAGCGCGCGCGCGACCTCGAGCTCGAGCAGCAAGACGAGGTCAAGCGCTGCAACAAGCTCATACTCGAGACCAAGTGCCGTGCCATACGCGACGCTCAGGTATCGCCGCGCGGCCGACAATCCGCGTTCTTTGATCCGAGCTGCGTGCCTCGTCGATCCCTCCTCCGTCCACCGAGCGCAGCCAGCCGAAACTAATATCCGAGTTTTTTCTCGACCCACAAAGTACGAGAGAACAGAGAGCGAGAGAGGCGTACGCACGCGGAATGTTTTATTAAATTCCTCGACTAATTGAGATACTGCAAAAAGGGGTAATTGAGAGCGAACTGAAAACAGGCCACGCGGGGGTTCGCGTCGAAAGTGGCCGTCGCTGTTCTGGTAATCAACGCAAAGTGAGCTTGATCGGATACGCCCGACTTTCTAATTGAACCTTTGACGCGATGAAATGACACGAGATACTGCGAACGCGAGGCGGAGAGCGTGGGACAGCAGAAATCAGCGGTAACTTCGGACGCTGCGCGCTGATCGAAAACCGCGCAAATCTCGACCAGAGACACATCTCGGCCCCCGGAGTGCGATCGCGTACGTCTCGAAGGTCGTAGCTGTCGGCTAGGCAGGACGGGGAGGCCGCGTGACGCGAGCGTGGCCATCTGACGGGAGCGGACTCGGCGCAGATAGCCGAGAAGAGGCTGCTGGAGCGCGAGCACGCCGACGAGGAGCGTCGCGCGAACGAGCTGATGGAGCAGCAGAGGGTGGCGGCGCTGCGAGCCGAGGAGCGCAAGGAGCAGGAGCGCGCGGCCCGCCGGCATCGCTTCGCTCGACTACTCAAGGAGCAGATCGAGGAGAACGAGGAGGAGCGGCTGCTGGCGTACGAGCGCAAGCGCGAGGAGAGCCGACTGGCCAATCTTAGCAGCGTCGCCCAGCAGGAGGCGGAGCTGGCCAGGGCTCGCGAGCGCGAAGCCGAGCAAGAGAGGATGAGGCGCGAGTTTGCCGAGAGCAATGAGCAGCTCAGGCACGTTAAACGGATGGAGCGAGAGGAGGAACGCCTGATCGACGCCAGGTAGGTGCTGCTGTCGTGGCGCGCCTCCGCCGAGACATTGACTCGACGCCGCTGCTCCGACAGGATCCAGGAGTTCCATCGGCAGAAGGCCGAGCGACAGACCAGCATGCTCGAGGAGGCGCGCCAGGAGCGGCTGAGGAAGGAGCGCGAGAAGGATAGACTTGCCGAGCAAGCTCTGCTGGCCGGGCAAGTGCAGGTGGGCGAGGCGGCGAGTGCGTACGAGCTTCGTTCGACCAGCCGCTTATTTCGCTGCCGATCGACAGGCGCAGATCGACGAGCTGAACGCGGCGAGGGTCCAGGAGGAAGTCGAGCGCGAGTGGCGACGCCGCGAGAAGCAGGAGGCGCTACGGCGCGCCGAAACGCAGAAGAGGCTCAAGAGCGCCAGGGACGAGCAGATCAATAACAAGATCAGGCTGCAGGCAATGGAAATCGAGCGCGAGAAGTGCGAATTCGAAAAGATCGTGGCGATGCAGAAGGAGGCGCTCTCACGCGAGGAGAAGGAGCGCGAAAAGAAGAGGAAGCAGGCGCTCGACCATCGCAGCGAAATTCTCAAGCAGGTGATGAGATTTCTATCAATTGTATTGTCTTTCGCGTCGTTGTCCTGTGCTTCCTCTCCCGCTCTAGAAGCAAATTTTTATGGGTTTTCGAACAAGTGTTCCATATGGAATTGCAATTAAGACTTGCGTGTGTATTTTCACGGCATCGTCGAGGTTCACGTGCTCCAACGTTGCGCGGCTTATCGCTGGCGACTGGCGGTCGGACGAGTTCGATCGGGGATTAATTCATTAAGTTCTTTGACGTAAATTGCAGGTGAACGAGAAAGAGAAAGAGAGGATAGTTTCCCGACAGAAGATGTTCGAGGAAGGTATAGCGATCCGAGCGGAGAGCGAGATGCGAAAACGACGCCTACGCGAGGCGATGGAACGCAAATGTCAAGAGATGCGCGAGAATAAAGTGCCAGACGTTTACATAAACGAGGTCAAACGCATGATCGAGAGCGACAAATAAAAGCAGCACGTACTGCGCCAATGAACAAGCTTTCATTAGTACCTGAAGCCACTACGATTACTTCCACAACATCACTACACTGGGATCGCGCTCGACAATTTCCTCGATTTGCGCAGTTGTCTGGCCTGTACTGCAGCAGATCTCATCCAAGTTATTCGTGCCTGTGAAATGCTTGTAAACTGGATTATTACGGCCTTCCTCGCTCGTACTACCCGGCAATAGAATTGGATACTGCGCAACAGAGAGATACAAATTATTTACTTCGAGTTATCCAACCGCAAAATAACATCAATAACGATTTAGAGCTACCTTGTATACACGACGTATAAGTCCTTCAATGAGTCCAAATTGTACGAGCCTCCTTTCGTTTATCCTCAAATTTTGTGGATTCAGTCGTTGACACAGATCTCTCATGCTACTTCCGTGTGTCATAGAGGCGTACATGCGGTAAATGTCTCGCAAGTACGCTGGCTGTCTGGCTATGTGAGAGAAGCAACATTACCAATTCAATACAACCACCTGGACGATCGGAGAAAACTCGTACATATTTAATAGTTCGACATTGTACTTACGCGTTTTCGAAGTGTACTCTATGCATCGCATTTGCAATTCTTTTTTTTCAGCGAGCTCTCTCAGCTTCGGCGTAGTCGCGTATACATTACCGTACTGAAATATTGGAATGAGTGTGACTACACCATAGTAACTAGAATTAAGAACAAAATGTTGATAATTGTCATTTTATTTCATAACTCATGAAATAAAGAAGGCTTGCTTGCACTCACACAAGATTTTGTACACAGCTTTTCACAAGATTATTCTCAACATCTGCTTCTGCTGCTATACGAGCAACATGATTGAAACCATCAATGTACGGTAGCACTTGTTGAGTAGTTAAGTCCCATTGATCGCTTCTAAATGCTTCCCTACCTTCTAGAAATATTGGTACTTGATGATCAAGCACTGGCTTGGGCTCTGGAGCTAGCCTTACAACTTTTAAATGCGATGTCATTGTACCTTCTGAAGAATTCACAATCAAACTTTTAATATCAAATAAAGCAAGTTTACAATAATCTCATGTTTTAACTTTCTCTCTTACCTGTTAAAGTGCACATTTTATGAAGATTCAAATCATGCATTACTTGTTTCAACATCTCAGAAAGTCTTGTTTTGTCATCCAAGCCAGACAAAAAGCAATTTTCTATCTCCAGTGCCATCTTTAACAAAGATCAATTTGAATATAATTAAATGATTCAAAAAAACTCTTTTCTTTAAATAAAACAAAATTAAATCCTCACCAAAAAATCTGACATTTTCTTAACTACCGGCTCGTAATGTACTGTTCTCGCCTCAGCATCACAAACAAAACAGAGGTTAAAGTAGAACGCATTTCTTGCATATTTCTTATTATCTATTTTGATGGGAAATCCTAGTATTTTACAGTCCTTCAACGTTCTAGAATTGCATATAAGAGAGTGATGTAAAAGTAACCGTAAACCAATAAAAGTAAGAGGAAAATGATCGTAAAAGGATCACGTAAATGTTCAATCATCTTGCTACTGTACGGTTGCACGTAATTTTCTGGTCAAACTGGAAAGGAGGGGAGCATTTCGTTCCACAGAGTACTTATATGTATAGGTTCATCGACGCGATCATTTCCAGATATTCATCCTAATATATAAATTATTACTTACACTGTAATTGTACTTCTCTGAAGTTGAGCTTTTGGAATAATGTAAACACTGACATTATCAAAAATATCCTTCGATATAAAATTGTCTGGGACCTACAAAAACAATATAAACAGTAGTGAAAAGTTCACTTTGACCCGAGCAGCTGATTTCGTTTTCAGAAAGAATAAGTTACAAATACAAACGAAAAGACAACATAAACCTTTTAAATGTAGCAAATATATGATTTTTCTTATAATTTTTTTAAATAAATTGATCGAATAAATAAAATCAAAGTATTGTAAACAAGAAACTAACCTGACAAGTAATTTTCGGACCAGCCGTTGGATGGAATTCCGAAAAGAAAATACATCTAATTGGCCCTTCCTGACCCGTATCGTCCGCCTTTGTAGCGGGAAAAGACATATTTTCCTTTGTCATTTAACTCCTTCGAGGAAATAATTTTTGTTGTGGAGCAATCTTTTCGTTTGACAAGTGCTCCAGTTTCGTTTACCACGCTTTTTAGCTGCGCGCGCAACGAGCGCGAAAAATTTTATTCTTAAACAACCAACGATATATTCGAGTATTTAAAGGCCAGATGAATAATTGTAAATTAACTTCAAAATCTTTATTTATTTAAATATATAAAACTTTTTTAAATGTATTTGTAAACTGTTTACATTAAAAGCTTTAATAGATTTGCATTAAGATATAAAATATATATTCATATAAAATATTCATACAAATTGGAGATAATCACTGGTAAAAGCTACCACAGGACGCAAATTATAAATTACATGATATCATGGTGATTAGTCTTAAACAGTAACTTGATTAATATCTAATGTGGATCATTTTCATGCTTCTGGTTTTTACTGATCATAAATTAGTATCACAATTACTGTTTCATAGCTCCAGATATTGCATCTTTCTTTTTTATTAGACTAAATATTTTTCTGAACATTTCAGGTCCATTCCAATATCCTCTGCAGTGTAGAAATAAATTTAATCAATTAATAAAATAATAAAATTACGGGCCATAACAAAATGATTACCAACTTTAGCATTAGATGCCAGTAGAGAAATGGAAAAAAATATTTTTTCAGAAGATACATGGAATACAATTCTTTGCTTTGATTCACTGGGAAAGATTCTTGTGGTTGCAATTTATAGTCAAATTCAGCAAGTATACATTTTCCCGGTGCCGTTACTAAAGGACATGATGCATATCCATTGTATGCATGTTTCATTTTTTTTCCTGCTATGTTAGACAAAATATTTTTATACAAAACTTTACTTTGTGATGCTGAAAGGTAAAAACAATAACGCATTCATTAATGTAAAATATTACTGACATTATTTTAGGCTTTTGAAAAATTCAATATACCTATAGCAGCCATTGTCTTAGAGTTAGGTGAATTTGTACAATCACCTAATCCATATATATTTTTAAACTTAGTATGCTGTAACGTTTGTGGGTTGACATCAAGAAAACCAGCTTCATTTGTCAACATTGTATGTTTTTTCAAAATCTCTGGTGCCCCCATGGGTGGTGTTACATGTATCATAGAATACTGAAAATAAAATGAAATATAAACAAACACTTCTTTACTTTATAATTTTTACACTATATAAATAAAATTCTAAAATTTATTTACTTGTACTGTATACTTATTTTCTGGCTTAGCTAAATTTTGGAATACAGCTTCTTTTTTGTCAGGTCTAATTTCAATTAAATTTGTCTGAAGATTAACTTTGATGTTTCTTCTATTGCAAACTTCCCATAAAGCATCTGCATACTTCTTAACACCAAAAATAACTGGTAAACTTGTGTTATAAACAACATTTACTTTATTTCTTTTGTTTTTCTGTAAAATAAATTGTTCTTAAGACCCTATTAATTAAATTATCAATCAATAGTTACTGTAAAATGTAATTTACTCGTCTCCAGTAGTCTTCAGAAAGATAAGCAATTTTCTGAGGAGCTCCTGGACATTTGACAGGTGTATTTGGAAATGTAAATATAGCATTTCCTTCATTTGTATTTTTTATTTTGTCAAATACTTTGGAAACAGTATCAGGCCCATAGATTGAACAAACTTGAGATTCTGAATTTTTTAGACCTTCTAGCAAGCCAGGTAACTAAATAATAAGAAATTTAAAGAAATATTATAATCATTTACATGAAATAATTAAAACTCTAATTCCAACCTTATCCCAATAAAGTTGTAAGCCCATTGCTACAATCATGTGTTCATATTGCACAATATCTCCATTGCTAATTGTTACTTTATTCTCATTTGGTTCAAATGATATAACTTCCTCTTTAAACCATTGAGCTTTTACTGGTAAGACATCTTTCATTGATCTCTTTGATGCATCAAAATTCTTGATCCCTCCTCCTATTAAGGTGTACAATGGCTGATAATAATGAACCTGAATCGCAAATAATATGACTATAGATACAAAAACATATCCGAAGTCATACAGAAAATAAAAATCTTCGTTTACCTCACTTGGTTCAACAACGATAACATGATTTGGTGCTTTGTCAAACTTTCTTGATAATTTGGCAGCCATTGTACAACCTCCCGTTCCACCACCAACAACCAAAATTTTACACCTACAAGACATAATTGTAACTTGCAACAAACATTACTTATTTAATTTTAAAGTAGCTGTAATCTTTGAAAAAAAAGAATAAGATTTGAGGAAATTATGGTGTTATTCACAACATTAAAAATATACTTACATATGATGTGCATATCTAACAGGATAAATATTGTTTATCCTTAATACTGATAACAAAGTGTTGTTTATAGTCACAGTCTTTAGCATGATTACCTTTTAAAAATATATTTTTATCCTAAAAGTAGAATCAAAAACTTTAAATCCAGGTTATTATTTTTAATAACACAATGATTTCCAACATATTATCACATGTATACTAAAGACAAGTTATTGAAAATGTAATGCATTAAAGCTATCTTTTGGATAATCAAAAAACTATTACACAAAACTGTAGATTTTCATTACATTCACGATAAAAAATATAATCTCATGAAAAAAACTAATTTATAATTAAGGTGAATTTCGGCCTACCATCAGCTTTAATGCATATATTCGTAGTTGATACTTCAACACATTATTAAGAATAGATGTTGAATCAAAGCTTTAACGTATTAATGTTGAAAAATAAGTTGTAATTTATTTCCAATTATTGTTGTCGTCGCGAGTACGCTTTACATGAGCGTTTGTACAATGAATCACATCGGAACGACCCTGGCAGAAAAATGATTGATTTAAAAAAAAAAATATACCATTAGGGTCTGTCTCCATAGGGCCTGCCTGAGTCCGTCCGAGCCGGCCGAGATTTTTTATGGGCACGCCATCTCTATAATTTCGTATCCAATGGCGAGTTTCATAGTGAATGGCTGCGTTTACATAAACGAGCCCGATCGGACGCAGCCAATACGAGAAACGCATGAACACGAAATTATAGAGATGGCGTGCCCATAAAAAATCTCGGCCGGCTCGGACGGACTCAGGCAGGCCCTATGGAGACAGACCCTTAGGCCCCGGTCCCATAGATACATACGGATGCGGACGGATACGGACGCGAATCGCAACTCTAGTAACATTACTAAAAATATCTAGTTCGATTATTTAGTACCAACACTACCGGTAGTGAGCAAAAGTAACTGTTGTTTAAAACTGTAGCACCGAACGTACCACATTTAATGAACGCTTATCTAACCTTTACATTATTGCAGTCTATAAGATGGCAAATGATAGAGAATTGATAGACTTTCAACTACAATTAATGGAATTAGGCCTTAATTTTATGGAAGTACTTGAATATATGAGAAGAAGAAAATATATATAAATGATATGTATTAATCATCCCAAAAGCTTTTTTTACATTAGCATACTCATCAATAAGCAATATTCATGAGAATTTGAAAAGTAAATTGTAGACCTGACATTTGAACATTAAATGTGGTACGTTCGGCGCTACAGTTTTAAACAACAGTTACTTTTGCTCACTACCGGTAGTGTTGGTACTAAATAACTGAACTAGATATTTTTAGCGATGTTACTAGAGTTGCGATTCGCGTCCGTCTCCGTCCGCATTCATACGTAGCTATGGGACCGGGGTCTTAGCTTCGTCTTAATTTGTACCACCCGAAAATTGCTTTTTTGGAATTTGGAATTTTGAAAAAAAGCGAAAAAACGATATTTCGTAAAACTTATACTCCTGGTAGAAAAATGATTGATATCTTAAAAGAAAAAAATACCACTAGTTTGATTTTAATTTGTACCATCAGAAAAATGCTTTTTTGGAATTTGTACCCTCTTTAAAAATAGAGAAAAAAAAGATTTTCGTAGGGTAGATTAGCAATTCAAATTAACGTATTACTGTGCATGCGCGGCGGAAAATCTATCTACCAGCAGAAAAATATGCGATTTAAAAAAATATATATATGAATGCCTTCTTCTTAATATATGGGTGATTCTAGGCTATTTCGATTGACTTGTAACCCTTAGGTTACGGATTTTTTTTTAATTTGGCACAATTGTTGTACACATAAAACTGAGATTTTTCCCAAATTTTGGAGACGATACATTAATTATATCAAAAGTTATTAACAATTAAAGAAAAATGATAAAAAATTTTCAAACAGCTATATTTTAAAAACTAATAAAGATATCGAAGTCGGAGTTTTCCCAAATTACTTATAATGCCTTAAAATTTCGAAATAATTACAACAATAAACAATAAAAAATTTTTTTCGAAAGTTATTAACTTTTTGTTTAAACAATTGCTAATATCTCAAAAAGTATATTTTTTTTTTGAAAAATTCTTGCTCCTACGTATTCCTGAGGATTTTTGCTATCGAAATCAATCATAAAATTCAAGGGCCCGACATATCGGAAAGCGTAGCCCTAATCAAAAGAAGACGCCTCGGCGTAAGGCTGCGGTAGCGCTCCAGCGGACTCACGGTCGAAAGGTACTTTAGCTTTAATCTAAAAAACTAATAAAGATACCGAATCGGAGTTTTCCCAAATTACTTATAATACCTTGAACTTTCGAAATAATTACAACAATAAACAATAAAAATTTTTTTTCGAAAGTTATTAACTTTTTGTTTAAACAATTGCTAATATCTCAAAAAGTATATTTTTTTTTTGAAAAATTCTTGCTCCTACGTATTCCTGAGGATTTTTGCTATCGAAATCAATCATAAAATTCAAGGGCCCGACATATCGGAAAGCGTAGCCCTAATCAAAAGAAGATGCCTCAGTGTACGTCGCAACGACAGCAGGACGTCTTCGTGGTCTTACGCTGAGGCGTCTTCTTTTGATTAGGGCTACGCTTTCCGATATGTCGGGCCCTTGAATTTTATGATTGATTTCGATAGCAAAAATCCTCAGGAATACGTAGGAGCAAGAATTTTTCAAAAAAAAAATATACTTTTTGAGATATTAGCAATTGTTTAAACAAAAAGTTAATAACTTTCGAAAAAAAATTTTTATTGTTTATTGTTGTAATTATTTCGAAAGTTCAAGGTATTATAAGTAATTTGGGAAAACTCCGATTCGGTATCTTTATTAGTTTTTTAGATTAAAGCTAAAGTACCTTTCGACCTGGAGCGCTACCGCAGCCTTACGCCGAGGCGTCTTCTTTTGATTAGGGCTACGCTTTCCGATATGTCGGGCCCTTGAATTTTATGATTGATTTCGATAGCAAAAATCCTCAGGAATACGTAGGAGCAAGAATTTTTCAAAAAAAAAATATACTTTTTGAGATATTAGCAATTGTTTAAACAAAAAGTTAATAACTTTCGAAAAAAAATTTTTATTGTTTATTGTTGTAATTATTTCGAAATTTTAAGGCATTATAAGTATTTTGAAAAAAATCCGACTTCGATATCTTTATTAGTTTTTAAAATATAGCTGTTTGAAAATTTTTTATCATTTTTCTTTAATTGTTAATAACTTTTGATATAATTAATGTATCGACTCCAAAATTTGGGAAAAATCTCAGTTTTATGTGTACAACAATTGTGCCAAATTAAAAAAAAATCCGTAACCTAAGGGTTACAAGTCAATCGAAATAGCCTAGAATTACCCATATACCATCTACGAAATCCAAAAATATAATTTGTACCACTGTAGAATTTGAATTATACAGCGTTTTTCATAGAAACACAGTAAAATGGAAAAAAATAATAAAATTTGTGATCCTGGCAGAAAAATGATGAATTTTCTTAAAAAATTTTAAGTAAATAGCTTTATATCTATTTGGACTATTCAAAATTATCTAAATTTTCTTTTTTGTACCCCTCCAAATTCCAAATCCAAAATTATATTGAAGTTATAACAGCTGCATTAATAGGAATGGGTTATTTTCTGAAATAACACAGGAAAATGTAAAAGTTAACGTAAAACGATCGAAAAAAATTATAGAAAAACTGCGCGTGGTTAACGAAGACAGCAAAAGTTATTTATAACTTTCAATTTCATTGATTTTTTTCTTTTGATTGAGTTTTCCGAAATATCGTTCTTTACGCTTTTTTATTTAAAATGGGGGGGGGGGGGGGGGTACGAATTCCAAAAAAAGCAATTTTCGGGTGGTACAAATTAATTTGTAATCTTTAATTAAATTTAATTAATCAATTAAATCTTAAGACGAAGCTAATGGTATATATTTTTTTAAATCAATCATTTTTCTGTCAGGGTCGTTTCGATACTGAAGTCTTAAAGCTGTTTTATTATATATATATATATATATATATATATATATATATATATATATATATATATATATATTTCGCTTCGCTGGGGCGTAAACGCCACACGAGACAAGAATCTATTTTCCCGCACTTGTATCGTAATGTACTATTTAAAATCGATACACAGAATATAGGGTCGGTTTCGTTTCGTACAGATCGATATACCAAAGTTACACAATTTATATTTTACACGAATTTAGTTAACATAATGCCTTTTTAATTGAACGGAAAACATAAAATAATGTGACTATTATAGAAAAGAAAGATATCATATATTAGATGTGTAAACTTTCTACAGAAAATTAGTTTAGGAAATAATTATCGCCTAAACTATTCTATATAAAATATTTCTTCATAAACAAATAAATATTTGAAAAGATTATACGTGTTTAAGTACGATTATGCCGTGCAGAATAATTTGTGTAGAAATAGTATACGTATACGAAATGAAACGGGCCCAGCATGGGCACGAAGATCTTTTAAAAATACTTATTATTTTTCGCATCAAATAATTATATTTATTCATTTATATTTATATCTACTAACAAAATTGCCTATGTTATAACCTTAAAGCTTTATAACAGTTCCACTTACATTCTTTAAAATTATATTTTATATAAATCGGCTCTAATAAATTTTAATTTACTATGTTTATTCAATATTTTTTAGCTTTTATGTTATCTATAAAACAATTTTGAAATAGGTTTTTTTGTAATTAATCATGTTGATAATGCGGAATCATTTTGAACGACGATGAAAAATGCGCCACACCGAGAATATTAGATGACGGTCAAATCGTTGCTGATCGTCTTTAACTGCTATGTTCTCTCTTCCATTTTCTTCCATTGTTTATATAATTTGTGTGAGTGAAAGAAAGAAAACAGATCATCGTGACAGTTACAACCGTTTATTTGACCGTTATCTATAAACTGTTGTTTTGTTATCTTTACCTCTGTATATTTAGTCCAATCAAGAAAGGGATTTGGAAGAGTTCGTTTCCGAGAACCTCGGTTCAGCAAAGTCACGGAATTTTCCTTTGTTCTACGTCTGTGTCAAATCTTTTTCGTTGCAAAAGACAATTTTATTGAAATTATAATTGAGAGCAGTAAAATTTCATCATGGGCTTAGTTTGTTCGACGGCACAGGTACGTTACTGATTTTCATTCGAGGTACCACGTTATCTGCGACTCTTTCTAAAGCTATGTCTGACATGTTGGAAAATTGTTTACGTTGCATTATTTTTCTTTATATTTCTTTTCATTGGAATTGTAAATTTATATTTATTTTTTTGGTGAACTCAAAAAAGTAATTTCATCATATTCATTGAGTGATTCATCGTATCACAACAATTAGTAATGCGCATATTTGTTTTATGTAAATGTGTAACTAAAGAATTATTTTCACAACGCTTTCTAATTTAATTATTTATTTTTAATAAAAGAAATTCCTAACTAGTGATAAATATGCTTCTCAAGATTTTTTAAAGAGAATGCTCATCTGAATGACATGTCAACTTAACTTTTGTATGACTCACTCTCCAAATACAATATCCTCTTCAAATTGATAATGTAACAAAATCTTATAGGATGTCTTTATACATTATTACTTGACATGAATCATATTATTCTAATTTATAATCCTTTTTTTAGCTGGCGTGCCTGTGTGGTAGTACAGCATGCAGTTTTTGCTGTTCACAATGTCCTTCATGTCGCAACAGTACCAGCTCAAGGATTATGTATGCTTTGATGTTGGTGCTTGGTACAATAGTATCATGTATCACCTTATCACCTGGACTTCAAAGTACTTTGAAAAAGGTAAAATAAATTTTGTTATTGGGCAGGTCTAGCATTATATAATTTTCTTAATTATAAAATATTTTTGTATATATAACAAGTATGACTGATATTTTTACTATATAAAATTTATAAATGTACTTCTTTTACCAACAGATGCCATTCTGTGCAAACAGTTCCAACTCTGCGTTAAGTCCTGTAACAATTGATTGTGAACAAGCAGTTGGATATTTAGCTGTATACAGAATTAGTCTTATCATGACTCTATTCTTTGTCCTTATGTCAGTCATGATGATTGGAGTTAAGAGTTCAAAAGATGCGAGAGCTCCTATACAAAATGGGTAAATATTTGTAGGACGTTCTCTATATTCTACTATGTATTTGCAACAATAACACAATATTCTATTACAATGATAAATTTTGTTGCAGATTTTGGGCTATTAAGTATCTTCTGGTTATTGGTGGCGTTATTGGAGCATTTTTCATTCCAGAAAATTCATTTGGCCCAACTTGGATGTATTTTGGAATGATCGGTGGCTTTATGTTTATACTAATTCAATTGATTCTTATTATTGATTTTGCTCACACTTGGGCTGAATCATGGGTTGGAAATTATGAAGAAACTGAAAACAAAGGATGGTAAATACAGCATATTTTATGTGACTGCTTAATAATAAAATTTTCATTATATATATATATGCTAATGAATGCACAGGTATGTTGCTCTCCTTGGAACCACTTTTCTTAATTATATTCTGGCTATTACTGGTATAGTGCTACTTTATGTTTATGCCACTAAGGTAACTAATTTGTTTTTCGTAAATAATAAGACTTTTTAATAATTTGTTAATAAAACTTCGTGTTCTACTGTTATTCATTTTTATTACAGCCTGATGATTGTTCATTGAACAAATTCTTCATTTCCATCAACTTAATTCTCTGTGTCATTGTTAGTGTAGTCTCTATTCTGCCCAAAGTACAAGAATATCAACCTCGTAGTGGTTTGTTGCAATCTTCTGTCTTATCATTGTACATCGTTTATCTAACATGGAGTGGTGTTTCAAACAGCCCAGGTAAGCTTATTTACTCATTTTATATATTTTTGTCCATTGAATAACCTTTTCTATAAAATGTACTACAGTATAATTAGTACAAATAGTTATATATATATGTATATATATATATATATATGTACACACATGATTTTTCAGACCATGACTGTAATCCTGGTATTTTTAACACTGCTTCTTCTGTAGCTGATCAAAGTAATATGGCATTTGACAAAGAAAGTATTATTGGATTGATTATCTGGCTCAGCTGCGTTTTGTATAGTTCTCTTCGCACTGTGTCCAAGTCTAATAGAATAACAATGACGGAAAAAGTTCTTATACAAGATAATGGAGCTGGTAAGTATCAAATTTGTCATTACTATTTGTGTGTGTGTTTTTTCAATTTTGTTTAGGCTTCTTATTTTCTGTCTAATAATTTAAATTTATGTTAGTATGCTTATAAGATAATGGTCCAAATTATCAATATCATTTAAGAAAATTTGTAAATATAATGCATCGACAATTTATTGACTCTTATTAGAATAAATGTAGTATTTTAATTGTAAATGATACGATCGACAATGCATCTTATATCTAAAATTATTGAAAATTTGGAAAGTCATCTTACTTTTGACTTTACTCTAACATATTCTTAATGAACACTGCTTTTTCCGTACAGTGCGGAGCACTGGCGACCAGTCTCTTATCGCCAATGAAGGTAGGCACACACCACTCTTAGAACTTTACACAATTGATTATCTTCTTCCTTGTTAAAATCATAATACATCCTTTGTTTCTTTAACATGTGAAAAAACTTTATTGTCATTGTCTTTGTTTACTTTTGTTTCATCATATCCAATTCGTGACGATTCACATTCATTAGGAATGAACTAGTGTGTGCCTGCTCTTATTGAGATTTCTTTTTTCTCGCCACATGGATCATCCATTATGGCTTATTGCCGCGTTATTATTGTTCGTTGTTTTGTTTCCGCATCGTTTTTGGTTGTTGGCATTTTTCTTTCGAACGTACTCAGATTATGTTCCAGTAGAACGCCACAGTGACGACGAGGAAGGAGGTGCCAAAGTCTGGGATAACGAGGAGGACACTGTTGCTTATAATTGGAGTTTTTTCCACTTCATGTTTGCTCTTGCTACTTTGTACGTGATGATGGCGCTCACCAACTGGTATCAGTAAGTTAAACTAACCACTAAGAAGTTAATCATCGTTTCACCCATATTTTTATTTTATAACATTATTTTCAATTCTCAGGCCTAATTCATCTTTGAAATCTCTAAATGCAAATGCAGCTTCAATGTGGGTCAAGATTATCTCATCATGGGTTTGCATGGGACTCTATACCTGGTCTATGGTTGCACCTGCTATCTTAACTGACCGAGATTTCTCTTAAGTTTGATCGTTTATTTTTAAATGAATATTCGCAAATATCTAAAAATCTTGTATAAAGTTTTATGGAAGCTAATATTTCATTTGTGGGAAATGTTTTCTGCACAAAAATGTATCTTCAAGTCTATACTATTGAATTAAAGTGTAAAGTTTTTTGTAATACATAACGAACGTAAAAAGATTAAAAAAATCTTGTGCTTTACTAGAGGTACAATCATTGAATTGGATTTTACGATAAATTTGCTAATTAAAGTAACGATTGAAAAAGTAATAAAATATCACTTAAGAAAAAATCGTACCGGCATGCATTTAAAATGTAGTTTCTAAAAACTTCACTACGCTGCTGATAGCTTTCAAGTAAGAATTTCCGTTGATTGTCACATTTCAAAACGTGATATATTTGAACTAATTGATAGTTAATAGATTGATAATTCGAAATCCATGTTACCTCGATCAACTTAAATTTTTGAAAGCAAAACAGTTTTATTGTATGCTACATGTATGCCGATGAGAAAAGGAAATCTTTCAATAAGTTCTTATACCAATTATACATTTATTTCCATTGTTAAGCTCGGTTGAGTGTGTGCTTGTAAAAGCACTAAAGATGTATCGATCTTGTCTTTCATTTGAAATACAGCCGTCAATTTTATTTATCAATGCTAAACCGAAGAATATACTTTATTTACTGCATGTGTAAGCGCTATATAACGTAGTGTGCGTAGCGTATAATCTGTAATTACTTTGTTAATTTGAGAAAAAATTAATTTTTTTAATTATATTATCTAGATTGTAAGTATGTAAAAGACACGTATTTATCGTAACTTCACGAAGATGCAAAATGCAACTCTTCCTCGTTCATGTGATATAAACGAACAATGCCGTTGATGTATTGTTTTTTTTTCTATTGTATTTATCATAAAGCTGTAACATTCATTGTTCAAAAATAAAATATTAAAAAAGAAAAGACAGGTTACTCATTTAATAGAATTTTATTCTCTGTAAATATCAGATAAGTATTAAATAATCGTGTTAGTCGTAATTATAAAATTATACAAGTAATCCGTTGCTGTAAAAAAATAGTACATTTCCTAACAGGTTCGCAAAAGCTTTTTTGGTGAAACGAGAAGTTTACGGCACGAGTCGAAGGCGAGTGCTGTAACGACTTCGTCAAAAAGCCTTTTCGCATCATTTAGGGACAATATTTTTTCGCATGAGAACCGGAAACCAACGCCGAAGATACGATTTGGAGATTAGAGTGCGGAAAAAATTATTTCTATGAATTATAATAATTATTTACAATTTGTATGCAGGGAACAATTTGATACGTACTATGATAAGGCATACTTTTGACTTTCATATACATTGTATATGAGGGCAAGTAATTACACTTGTCAAGGCTTGCGTATTTATTAGGTTTGGATACCTGTGAACCAGTTTACAAGTTATTCCAAATTTCTCTCGCAGTGTAAAATATAAGTTAAAATTCACACGGTCAATGAAGTCCAATATCACGTATACAAAATCATGATTAAAAAATAATTAATCTCAATACTTGCATCGAATTCTTAAAAACTACATATCACTTATTTCATGAACTTTACGGAGTGTCGCTAAAAATTTGGCTGTTATATGTCATTCGTAACAGATCATTCTATGTACAGATATATCGTATACCAAAAGTAAAAAAGAAACAGCATTATTGATCACACGCTTAAATAATCATCATTATAAGAGACTACGGATAATTATTAAAAATCGCTTACAATCAATATGCACTTGCGCTCGTCGTTCAAATTAACATCTTATGTGAACGTTCGTCGAGCCAAGCGAAAGTCTAAAATCGTTCACGATTATTTACAAAAGAAAAGACTGATGTTCGCACGAGCGACATATTTAAAAAATGACAAGATTCGCTAATATCCGTTAATATACATCTATATAAAACCGTAGACGTTCAAACAAGTCAGTATAAAAAAAAGAGAAAAGACAAGGTTTCACCAGTTTCTCTAACAAGAAATGCATTATTCGACTTTCGTTTCTTTGATTGTCGGCACTGCAGAGTTCGATTGGTCTTTTGACGAAGATCCCTTCAAGTAACAATTTTTAATGTTAGTGAACGGCGTTTCGAAGAGCAAAGTGAGGATCGCGGAAGTGAGTAGGATCCACAGGAATTCTTTGATGTTCAACTGCAACAGCAAAGGAGTGTTCGTTACAACAATGACCGGATCATGTATTTCATGGCAGAGCTTGTTGAAAGAACGCAATAAGTACCATCGTCCTTATAAATCCAATGTACTCGGCGCTTCTGGTCTCTCCAACGTTAAAGAAGAACACGGGGAACTGCGTGAGGTATATCGCGTAACTCAGTCTTGTACTGATGAGGAAACCCTTCCAAGAGAACAGCTTTGTCAGCCAACCTGTAAAAATAGCAATTGACATAGAAGCATGTTCTTGGTCTACGAGTAATCCGTGACCTAATAATCTTGCCGTTAGTGTTTCCAGTATGCGCCAAGAAAGTCATCCAGATGAAAATGGCACACCAACCGATCGGCGCGAAAGCATTGTAAGATGCTGCATGAATAGGATTGTAGACGTAGTCGACCGTCCCCATTGGAGCTGGACCAAAAAATGCGCCCATTGCCATCAGTATGCTCAAGAACCATCCAATATTCAGCGCAGTCTATGAACACAGTCGAAAATCAGAAATGAGCCTTTGAACACGATGCAATATAATTGGCAATTTGCATTTCGAACCCACATTGCTAAGCTTGTAATCTGTCGGTACTTTCTTCAAAGCGTATCCTAAAAGTACTCCGAAAGTATAGACGGTGAGCCTGTGAGTGGGCAATATGTAGGAATAATTGGCTGTATCGAATAGCTGCCTCACCCTGCGAGCAGTCGAACATATCCAGCAAATTCCATCGGCCAACGTAGGCATGCACGAATAAGAACGGCAGTACTTACGAAGTGCCGAAGAACACGTAATTGTTGAGGCGCCGAGCGTAAGTTACGTAGAATCGAAGAGCAGTCGAGATCGTAGCGACGAGAGCGAGGATAGCCATCCCTAATTTGGGCCTTCTGTAGATCAGCAGAACCATCAGCGGTGACAATGCGAACAGCTGAGTGTCGATGCCGACGTGATGCGTGTGAGTGAGACACTACGGCAGTCAACGCAAAAACCATGAGGTTCGTCGTGACTCTTCGGACAGGCGTGAAATGTTGGTTCGATAAATACCATATTTTCAAACCCAAAGTAATTGTGGATGAACAAGAAGTTGCGCCAAGCTGTCTTTTTGCAGATATCCGCGTGCTGAGATACGACGAGGTTCCACTGCGGCCCGGAACCGATGAATGGCATTACGTAGGTGCAGAATAATACGAGGGCTGCCAAGGTCGGCACAATCCTGGAAAATGCTCCGATCGTCAAGCGACTCGCGAGAGGAGAACGACGAGGACGACGCTGGACCCGGAGTCGAACATCGAACATACCTGAACAGTCGGCTCAAGTACTCGCTGCGCACGTTCAGCCGTCCACTCTTGTTCAGTTTGCCCACGAACGAGTAGGTGGTCAGCAGTCCGGAAAGCATTATGAAGGGATCCGTGTACAAACTGGCAGCGCGGCCAATGACCGTCCACGGCTTGCCGACGTACTGGCAACAAATGAGCGGCCGTCAGGCAACGTTCGCGACTGACGCGAAAGAAAATAGAGCGACAGTAATGGCAAGCCACCTCGGTCATGCTCGTGCGGTTCACGTAGGGATTGAAGAATATTGCCATGCTCTTGTGCGACAGAATGAGCATGAAGGCGTTCAAAGCTCGGATGCCGTGCAGGATGGCGATGTCGCCGTCGGCGCGTTCCAACGAGACGAGCTTCAGCGCGTTCCTCTTGAGCGAGAACGCTCGGACGGCGGGTTTCATTGGCACGTGGTAGTGGTCGCACACGCCGGCGAACACCGAGAGCGCCAGGATCCCGATGAACAGCAGCCTGCGCGTTTCATCGAGCGATTGCTTGCGACCGATAAGGGCGCCCGAGATACCGCGATCGACTCACCCGACGGCAATGGTCTCCGTGGGCAGCGGCTCGCCGCTCTCGACCTGGCACATGTCGGCGTCGACCCTGACCGTGATCTTCAGTCCCGTGTCCTCGGTGTGCCTGACCAGGCTGTGCTTGAGCGACGCCTCGACGTCGCGCGCGCTGCAGCCGGACGGCGCGCAGACCGCCCAGCTGACCGTGCTGAAGCGCGGAACCCGATGCCCCGGCTGTCGAGTAGATCATAATCCCAAAATCAGCCGGCCTCGCTTTCGCGCGCGCGCATCTCGCTCGGCTCTCACGGTTGCGAAACGAGATCGTCCACGATCAATTAGCTTATCACTCGCGATCGAGCTCACGTTCTTCGCTAGTGCACGTCAATTTTCATAAGTTTTCATGTCACTTGTTCAAATCATCAAACAATTTATGCGACTGGAAATTTATCGATGCCGCCGTCATGAAACTCGTAAGTGATCCATTACAAAACGCGTCTATATGAGGCAATTCCCCTTGCGACACCTGGGATTCGACGCACGAAGTAAAAAAAAAAAAAAAAAAAAAATAAAGAAACGAAAAGAAACAAGATGGAACGAGCGTCGTGCAACACAATCCTCTTTGGCGAATCTTTTCACGGACTCTTAAACGAGCAATTAGATTATAGCTCGCTACGCGCGTAGCTATGTAACGCAATTACAACCGTTCGGTTCACGAGCTTCATGCGGAATCAGCTTTAACGCAACATATATCGACGCATCAGCGATTCAGTCGCGGTTCCGCGTGTCTGTTCAAATGCTAACGCCTAGCCGCCAGACAGATTTCCACGATCCAATTTTCGTTTACAGGAATTTTCATCGCGATACCCTACTGCAGCGTCCAAACTCAGGCCAAAGCAAACGAAAAAACATCAAATAACACGAACTTACGAACATCCTTTAAAAAGTATACTCACATCGGTTATGTTACTGCGGAAGGCGTAATGCGAATGCACCAGGCGATGTAGATGGAGCAAATCAGCGCGCGACTGGTCGACATCGAGTTGGAGGTAAGCAAGGCAATATTTGCCACGAATGCCAGCCGAACCCTCGACACCCATGCACTCGTCAAAGTCACCGAATTGATTGACGTTGCCGCTCAGCAAACCCGATGGCATTTTCGCCGTGGCGTCGTACACTGCAAATAACCTTCGGATTAGTTCTTTCTGCTGGAAATAACGTTTTGACCGTTCCGGAATTTTGCAACAGGCTTGCGAATTTTAAAACAAAAACCTGGTTTTCAACCGCCGTTAAGTATTTTTTAAAACCAGTCTCTGAAAAAAAGGCCGACGCATTAGCAAGTTTCACGAGAAAAAAAAATAGATTTATATGATGCCGAATCGGACGAATGAGCAGTTGCAGCATCTAGTCTTGAATATTACGCATAACCCTGCGAGCTATTTGATTACTGTTTAGAGGGTATTATGCCTCGAAATGAGGGAAAGCGCTGTCAGTCAGTAATATAAGATCGAATTAGCGATACGCAAGCTTTTATGCGTTTATGCGGGTCGTCGATCCGATGTAAACACCGCGATTTGGCAGCGACAAGCGAAAAATCTCGAGGAACCATCATGGCCAAGGCCACGTCGGAGCCAAGAAATTGAATGCTCCTCGCGGTTATCTCGCGCCGCATGTCGGATGAGACAAAAAACGACTGCCGGTGCTCGGTGCCTCGTTGGCTCAGCTCTCCGGCCCAGTGATAAATCACGCTTTAATGACTTTTGGCGTTGCTGACTGTCGAGCTCTTTATATTCAACTGCGGGCCGTGGCGTTGGTCGCGCGGGAGCGATAACAATCGAGGCATCTTAGTAGCGATAATGGATGTTGCGATGTGCCTGAGCTGTCCATGTATTATTGAAGAGCGATAATCTAAACTTCGCCACGCTTGGCTACGTGTAAACATTTTACTCGCGTGGCACGTAGACGCGCATGCTAAAATGTGTCAATGAAGATTGGCGTACAATTCGAACGAGAAGTCTCTTCGCTAATTCAATACTGCACTTGCAGGCTTACTTTTCAAAGCCCAAAGGCTGAATTTATTGAGCTCCCTGCGGAAGATGTCGGATTGTCTTCTGCACTCGGCACTGACTGGTCCGGCCGCCGGGTCAAAGGTCGGAACAATTTGCAGCAACTTCCTTGCCTCGTGGTCGATTTCCTCGGTGTAGGCGTCTGAAAATGTTACGAGAATGCCAAAATCAATATTCCTCATTATGGAGATTCCATTGTGTACACTTGAATAATTATTCAGATTTTGCGACGGTAATAATCGCTGCGGAAATAAATAATCCTCGCCACTGAGGTGTTGCGATTCATAAAATGCTCGAGTCAATGTCAATTTTACACGGTATGAATTTCCGAATGAAACAATATACCGAGTTTCACGCGAACAGTTACAGTGTTCATGAAGATTGATCGACAAGCGATAATACAACGATTGCATCTCGCTCAGGTTTGAGCGAGCAGCGCCAAGTATACATACATACATATATATATATATATATATATATATATATATATATATATATACACACACATATCATAATTGAATTATGAGAAAGGAGGGAAGCGCAATAACTCTCTCCGGCAGCAACCTAATTCATCACTAATAATAGACCAAATGTCATTAACGCTTGCAACACTCCACTGCGTATTATAATAGGAACGCGTAGCGTGGCGTCTGACGTTCAAAGGAGTGTCGAATTTTTTAAAACACTGTGTACAATGGTTAATGGCAATTTGTTTCGCGTCTCTCTTTTCTTTTTTCTTACAATAGTTCAATGAGTTACGGTTGCTGCCGTAGACGCGTTTGAGCAACCGGATAATGCTAATGACGTTTGTACAGGACGCCTCTTCTGCTTGTTTTCTCTGAAACTAAAAAAAAATAAAATAAAACGTAACGGCGAAAGTTCATGTATGAATAGCTTAAACTGTGTGTACTCTATTATCAAAACTCAAAACCTTTAAAACATTCATTTATGCGCGAACGTTTATATGAGCTTCCTTCTGTCGAAATTGATTTTTTCTTCGCACCGATTTCTTTCTTTCTTTATTTTATGTCGAGTGTCGAGTGTGTCGAGATCGCCTGCGTAAACAAATGAAACGAAAAATATAATTTGCAGCGTGAAAATAAAAATATGAAGATCGACGCACATTGTATACATGCAATGACGACGTACCTCCGCAGTAACCTCGGAATCGCGAACGTGTACTGTATACGGAATGCAAATAAAAAAAAAAAGGGAACGCAAAGTGCATTTTTTTGTCATTGTGTTTAATTCTCTCGTCGTATAAGTTACCAAATGTTGGATGGATTGACATGGTACGTCTGTTAGTGCAGTGTGTGGATCTGCACGGCTGAACATCTCGTGCGGAATGCCTTTTGTCGCGCATTTTGATCATGTATTCGCAATAATTATGTCACACTTTTAGTATTCCAAATTACATACAATCAATTACTTTCGAAAATAATACATATTTTGCTTGTAATATCTGATGTGTTCAGCGTTGAACGTAATTATGCGTGAGAAAACACATTGGCATTATTTTTATGAATATATCGCAATGTACAATAGAAAAATACCGTAAATATTTGTCTGTATATCACACTCATGACTACTCACGTAATCCGTGCTTTTTTTTTGCTTTCGGATCTGTTCAGGGACTTAAAAATCTTAACTTGGTTGGGAGTTGAACACTATTCTACTGTTAGTATGTTTAGTTTGATCTCTACGAACTTTCGTTTTTCTTCGATCATTGACGGAAGAATGTCTTGTAGGCGCACGAGCAAACTCTATGAAGTTTATTTTGCATGGCTAGTTTTTTACTCTGAACTTTTGTAATCCCTTTAATTTACGATGAAAAATGCCCGAAACATTATTGATGCATCACTTTGCATTAGAAAGAAAAAAAACAACACAAGCGATATAAATTCAGAACGTCATTCTCAAAATTATGGTGTAGATAAATATTCATGCTAAGACTTTATGACTTATTGCCCCGTAAATTTGAAGTCTAATGGCAGTCACGAACCGAAAGAGCACTGCAACCCAGTTTTCAAAGAATGTGGCACTGCATTGAGATAGAACAAGGCATGCGAACGAATTAATCGATGAATCGTCGCCTCGAGTTGACCGGCTGTTGAAAAATTATTACGTTATTGATGATAGCAACGCGTGTCCAATTTGCGATTAGTCTCGCCGAAAGATTGATATATTCGTACCAGGGTTGGAGAGCTTATTAACGCAATTGGCTATATCACTTTCGCAACGGCAATGCAGTTAAGAATCGTTGGACACGCCACAGCCAATGATTAACAACTTTTTTCACCACACGAGGATGTTTGCACCTGTTTTCTCTTTTACTGTTCTTTTTGTCTTTTTCAATTGTCACTGTATTGTCGCTAATTTATTGGAATGTACACTGTCTTGATTTTGCCATCTCGTTCAGTAATCGAAGACAGCAACTCTTCGGTTTCAAATTCACAATGTTGCAAATGTTTGCGGAAGACAATTCTTTTTCTTTCTCCTTTTTTTCACGGGGAGTATCATATAATTGCGTTACGCAATAGTGGAATGCAAAATTTACTTGACTTTTATGGAGAGTCGAATGCACGCCAGCTGCATTAACAATCGAGGAGGAAATGCTCTTTGAAGAAAACATTAAAGACCGATCGATGAGAAAAGATCGGAGTCCAGAGTGCAGAAAGGACTGTTAGTTTGCAGCTTTGATTTCTCACTCGAGCTTTACGTATCTAACTTGTCGATTGGATCTCACATTGGCAATCTGCTTACGAAGTGATTTGCGAAGAATCCTTGGGAGGTACACAGCAGTACTACAGTTGATTTGTAAACTAGAATTTAGGCGACACGAACCACATCATTCCATTGCAATATTTTTACAAATGGAAGCGACAACTTCTACATTAGTTTTAAATCATCGACTCAAATAAGCTGATTTGACAGACGGATTTCGAAAATGTCCCTCCGTGCTGCAAGATTTATAACTTTGCAAGCGCGTGGTCGCCAGTGAAATTCATGAATAACTTTCATTCTGCAACTGCACTTCTGCATGAGGTATGAATCATCATTGCTCCACAATTCGCTTCGAATAGTTATTTAAAAATGGACGCAGTTACAATGATCTGGCCAGTCTGCTGTCTCCTTTCTTTTTTCCAACAAACAATAATATAAAGCAGGCGCAACAGCTGTTTCGCTGGAGTTTCGCGATTTCCGGTGTATAATCAGCTAAACGAGGCTCTTGCGAGCGGTAGAGCGAAGAAATCTAAGCAAAAGCCGAACGTTAATGGATGTACCAATATTGTCATTCGATGCAAATGCTCATCGAACGAGAGATAACGAGACTCCGATAAGTTCGCGCGTTTGTTTGAACTATTTTTCCGCGTCGAAGACGAGGGCCTCCAGCCTGCGTGCGCCGAGAAAAAAAAACATTATTTAGGTTAAACGGTTTGACGCATTGTGCAAGACGATATAAATATAAGGCTGAGACTCGAGTTATTTGCAAATGACGGTACAACCAAGCAGTAACGAGATTGATGAGTTTTACGAAAAAAAAAGAGCGTACGAGGCTAGATTTTTCGACTGCTGTGAGCTTCTGTATAGGCCACGGCCATTTCGCTCGAGCCGACGTAATTGTTTCTCTTCTCTTTCTCATTGTATTCTTCAAGTGGTGCACTTGAAAACAATAAAAAGAAAAAAAAATAATAAAAAAAAAAGAAAAGGGACAGAAATGATAACTCCACCTGGTCTTTACCTCGCGCACTTTCAAAACCTTTGCAAAATCGTCGCTGTACTCGCTTGATGGCGTAATATTCGGAAGCAGCTTCGATGAACTCGATCGACGGCGAAACTGCCGCGAATCGCAGCCGGATGAACGAAGAGCGCGCGAGAACAAGATGGGAAGCCCGTAATTCTGACGGTTGAATGAAAGTGTCGACAAAGGATATCGATGTCGGGCAACGGTGATTTCGCCCGCGGTGCGAATCGTAATTAGCTTTTAGCTTTCCGCGTGGCCACGACTCGCGCAATACCCGTTGATTTCAGGTCGCGATGAAAGAAAAAAGAGCTTCGGCAAACTACCTGGACGGACCAATTATATAAGAGCTCGGACGACATTTGAATAGCGCGTACCGAAGGATTGTCGAACGCCACATTGAAAGAGGGTGCCTATCGGCGTTGTTTTCAGAAAATATCAGGTTGTCATCTCTAATTGCTTGATAAGGCAAAACAGAGCAAAGATTTCCCAAGATCTTCCGAAAGTCGACTAATCGACAGCGTTGCAATGGAGATGGTACTCACTATAGTAAGGATTGGTAGTGTAGCGATCGAGAGTTTTGTAAGTGATAACTTCGTCCGTGACAAGGGTGTCGTTGTACTGCTGAAACAGACCGTTGACAAGCCCGACGAAAGTAAAGTTTTCAGAGCTGCCGGTGTCGCTGTCATTGTGGGTTAGCACGCGAAGAATCTCATTTTCCTCGATACTCGAGCCAAGATTTCCTCTTAGTATATCCACCGATTGGCCAGCTAGCGAGACTTGGATCGAACAGGTCAAAAAGACCAACAGGTAGTCCCGATAAACGCCCATGTTTCTTCCTCTTCCAAATGGTTCAGGATCACCGTCGTTCGTTGTCTGCAATTAGCATTTTTGATCAATTAACCAGTTGACCAAGCGGATGGATAAATGGGCTACTTTTTACAATTCTCATTGTACGATACAACTTGTTGACTTCTTGCTGTCAAACTATTTTTACACTCCGATAAAAACAAACGCAAAACTCTCGATTCCGAAATCCTATCTTGGGTAACAAGTTGAGAAAAAGCGGTTAAAATAACTAAATTTCCAATTAAAAAAAATTATTTTCATGCTCTCTTGTACCGTACACTGAATAGATAGGATCTGTGATTTTGAAAATCTGTCCTAGCGTAAACTATTTTTAAGAGCGTGCAAACGCTATTGATTAGCACGCGTAAAATAAAGTCTGAAGTGCAGCGAGGATCGCGGAAAAAGTATACGCGATAGGACGGCATTCGAAGAGTTGACGGAATTGACCGGAAAAGGCATTGAAACATTTCGGAGCGTCGACAATCGCGTATGTTTGTACAAACACATGTCGCGCGTGAAAATGTATCGCGGAAAGTAAACACCATTCGCGTTTTTTGATACGCATTGACGGTGTCGGCACAACCACGAGACTTCGCTTACTCGGCCACTTATTAATTTTTTTCTCGGTAGTTTTTCGAGCAAAATCTGTGCTAAGGGAAGCAAACGTTGGACACTAATTGTGAAGAGCCGAAAACAATCGTGTAAAGCAGTCGCCGTACAGACGAGTTCCTACCGAACGTAATACAAGACTGGAAGACACTTACCTCTTGTCGAAACTCGACGAAACTGATAAAAAAAAAACGGAAGAAAGAGGAAAGAAACAAAAAAATAAATAATCGTCGCACAAGACGAACGCCGCCTCATGCAACAAGCAACAATTCACAAAAGCACTGGCTGCGAGGCATGAGAAGGCGAAGCACGTTTGGGTTCTCACTGGTCGGGCGAAATGTCGAAACTATGGCGATGCACTGGCCGCTCTTTCGTTTATAGTAGCGCGCGAGTTGAGCGCGATACGGCGAGTGACGGAGAGACCCGCTGATCATCAGGCTTCACCTGTGCGCGGGTTCCTCGCTCGAATCTCTGCGCCTTTGGCGCGCAGAGGGAGTATGGATTGTCGCGCTTATCCCCTTGATACTCCCCCCCCCCCCCCCATCCCGCTCCCGCTGCCGCGATATATTTACTCGGTTTTTCGGCTTGTCATGCCGTCTCTCGATCGCTGACGTGTGGTCAATAAACCTAAAATCATCGCGTTCTGGTTACTGTATTCCTCGTGCTGTTGTCTCATTTCTCCTCTGTAGATACATACTGTTTATATACTTTTATGGACAGCAGTTTCTAACCTTATTTGTTATTTCGGCTACTACCAAGTATTTCTTAAAATTCTATTGAAATAATTCATTTTTTTTATATTCATAGTGCATTCGAATTTCATAGAGCTTGAATCTAATTTTTTAATTTGAATGTTTGAATATCATCAGCTTTAACTGATAGAAAAATGTTCTACGGCATCACTGTAACGAAGTATGCGTTAAACTATTCCTACGAGACGCAACGAAAATTCCTTTTTAGAAATTACAAAAGATACGTTTGGGGCATTTATAAATTTCAGACTATTGCGTTTAGATTGGAAAGGAAACTTAATCAAAAAAACTAAATATTTATGAGAAAAATTAAGGAAGAATTGAAGGTCATTATTTTATAGCTGAATATAAAAAGTGTAATCGCCACGCATGCACGGTTATTTTGCGATCGCCATTTGACACATACAGCACAGAATTACCGCCGTAATTGCAATATCAATGATGTGACTCGACGTTTATAAAAACATTTTTTATTTGTTTTAAAAAGATATAAATTTATTTTTGAATCGGAAAAACACGTGCGAGGTTGTCGACTTTACGTAATAATGAAATAATCAGGCGTAGCTGAAAGACACACCTCCACGTAAAGATGAGCCGATGTCATAAAAAAAAGTCTACGCTCAACGGTTTTACGTTACTCTATTTTTTTCTACAAATACGTATACCGACTAACTGAAATGAGAATAAAAATGTGTAAAATGACAGAAAAATTTTAGATAGATCGACAAATTCAAATTTTAGACAAATTCAAAGTTTTACAACTCGTATTGGTCATCGCGTAGACCGCGTTCTTCCTTGTTTGAAAAATATCACGAGTTCCAGGTCATTTAGTTATCGCTTTTCAGCGCCTCTATACCACAAATAACATACTCATTAAATACTCATTAATCTTTGTTTGTCGGATCACGTTACTTTGAGCAATAACCTGTACTTGTAATTTTTGATGGTTTCTCGCGAGTCTTTAATCTGACTATCATAAGAATAACTTGAAATTGGCTATTATGATGATAGATGATTTTCTTTTAGCATAAACCCAGACTACAGATAATATGTGAACAATAAGTTCCGCAATTGGTTGGCAAAAAACGTTAACAGAACAATATTCCGCCAGTCTACAGAAGATAGGATTTTTTTTCCTTCTCTTTTCTGTGACCATCTAAAACGTGCCAGTGAAAGACGAGGTAGCGAATCTTTGGTGTGGACCGAGAAGATATATATTTGCCAAAACACGTGCGACGATGCGACTAAGCTTTGGACTTAAATAGCTCGATATTTCCTAATTATTCGTATTCATAGAAATATAAATGAAGGAAAATAAAAAATTAATCATAGTTAGTAAATATTGCTTTATGCACAATATGTCAAAAGAGAGTTTACTATATTATTGACATATTTTTTAATGGATGCATGCGTAAATGGCTTAATTAGTAACTTATTCGTTCGAAATATATCGATAAACATTTTCTTTAATAAATTTTATATATACGCGCACGTCAGTGCCTGCATGCGTGCGTGCATGCGCGTGCGCGTACGCGTATCAGTCGAATGAGGTGAATTGCACACAAACCTTGTAAAATCATTTATCTAGTTCATTGAAGAAAGGAGAAAAAAGGTTTCAAGGTAAATGGATTTTGATTTTCAAGCCACGAATCTTGTGATGTAACGTCTACGGATCTTATTTACTGTTACCTGCCATCATGCAATTGACATAATCTTGGATATGATAGATAATTTATTCATTTTTTAGTTAATTTATATAAGAAGACGCTGCAAATACTAAATTGAAGTATTTTGCGCGTCGCTCATGATTTACCAATCATTTTGTATAACATCACTGACCTCGATGAGATCCATGACTGTTGATGTACCTAGAACATTAAAGAATAGACTTTGTACCCATAAAAAAAAAGTAAATTAATCGTAAGTATCATAATTATTTGGAGAATACTCGAACTGACTTATTCATTTGAATGTACGAAAGCTGTCAAAGATTACAAATGGCTTAAATTTAAAAAATTCATCGCATATGAGTGATACTTGATAAACAATAATCAATTTTAACGAGTAGAGTAATTAACCTTGAATGATATCAGGAATAACACTGAAACTAATTGTCGAAGTCCGTCGACCCGTTTCAATTACAACACCCGATGTTTATATCAACAAATCGAGCTAATAAATTCAACAATAAAAGTCGTCTTGCGGTGAATCCGTTTTGGAAGTGTGTCGAAAGCGATAATTATTGTTATTGCCGGTCACACCCACGACACACGATTTTTATGCAATTTTTCAGAGTAAAACGATGTGATTTCCTATTAACAAAATAGATAGACAGACAACCAAGTCGATTTTAGGCGACCAGATAAGAATACTCACTGGGATTTATGAATCTCGGGCAAGTAGGATTCTCCTTGCCACGAGCTTGCGCAAAAAGGCAGATGCGCGTATACAACGCGTTTGCTGTTTCGACATCGATGTACGCGTCCGCGAGGTCAGAACAATCGTCTTGGACACTTGTCGCCCGAACATCTCACTTAGTTTTCACAGTCCGCGTTGCCTAATTAAATTATGTCGCTCTTTTATGTCACTGTACCGAGTCTTTTTGTTATTATCTACGTAGCGTTTAGAATTTTTTTTTATAAGAAAGAATGAAAAACTCTAGGGCTCGAATGGACTTGTCGAATAATTAGTACACGTGTGACAGAAAATTCAAATTCCAATTTTTGAATATAACAGTGACCTTGTAAATATAATTTGATAATGAATGAACGGATCTGCTTTATAATTAGAAAAGAATTATTCCTAGATATAATGATTTCACAAATATACGGAATGGACAGTCGCACGTAAAAACAGTTTTATTGCTGTTGGAAGCTTTCCTTCTTAATAAGCGACACTGTTTTGGATAACATACTTACTTCCGGGGTAGGCGTGGAATTTCCAATCAAAATAATAATTGTTGTCACAAATCAAAGTATCAAACTAAAAGAGCAGTATGAAACGTATCATTTGTGTTCATTTGCAAATGATTATTTTGCTAATGCTTTATAATCGAAAATCAATCAAGTCATTGAACATACGTCACGACAGAGAGTAAATGGACAACCAATAATCCAAATTGAAAGATCTAAAGGTTAATTCAGTAAATTCAAAACGTACGCTCTGGTTACGTCAAGAGATATTATGCACCTATACGTATACACGTCCATCGTAACGAATGATGGCACGTCGTGATCCGAATCCTGAAAAACACTATCGAAACACATCGAATCCCACGTGTCTGACCGCGCCGATCTTTATTTCTTTGTGCGAGGCTACAATTTATGCGACTAAATCTATCCTTACATCGTATGCATTGAATTCAGGTTTCGCAGACAGCGTGGTTTTCTTGGCCGACTGATACCGCAGGATTATTTTTGGAATTTCGAAGATAGCAAGCCGACAGCTTGGTCGTTAATTTGCCGTTGACATTTTTTTTAAAAAAGTATAGTCTATTTGAGGATAAGAATGTCTTTGTCAGTGCGCGTCTGGGAAAACAATACGAATCGCCAATGGGGGCACGTTGAACATTCAGAAGAATCGAAAAGCGGATGAAATTACCAAACCCGTCCACGCTTTGTATGCTGATCGTTCGCAGATGAGATGCGTCTTGCGAAACTTGTAAGATGAACGGATGGGTTCTCATAGCTTCGAACTTTGACCTTTAATAATATCTCGGACAAGACAAGACTCGCTTGAGTAATTCAATTGATGCTATTGCCAAGTTTGCACGACGTCCGCCTGCGGGCACTTGATTGTATTTTTAATTCGCAAAGAGTGCTCCGTCGGTGACATTCCCTCCTTGGGATTTCCAAAAACCTAGTCTTCGATCGTTTTTTATCCTGGCGCGCTCGCCACTTCCATCGCGCGAAACTGTGCAGTGAAACAAAGATGAGAAAGAGTCATCATTAGCGCGACGTAGAACTGGGCGCTCGACCGTGCTAAATCTCGCGTGCCGAGCACTATCGACGACGACTTTGCAATTGTAATCGCGTTGCGAAATATCAATCGGCACGCGCATGCGCGTCGCTCATTAATAGAAATACACTGCTGCTCGATGATTAAGTGCACGTGCATCCCGCGTTCAATGTTACACGCACTCGCCCGATGGCGCGCCTTCGTATACGTATGCGACGACAAACTTTTCGATTGATATTTCGAACATCAATTGGCCGCTCTTTTGCTCCTTTTCCTTAATTCCCGGCGGTACTGATTCGCATGAAAATTCAATTCGGAAAACTTCCTTATCCCTTTGACGAAGTAATAGAAAACTAGATGGCGGAAGCGCTCGCTTGGACGAACCGTCTGACCACATCGTCTTCTGTATCTACTGAGAGCAAAATTGATATGGCATTGCCGCTGTGGCAACTGTTTCAGTGCTAAAAATTCGTTGCGCAGCTCAAGATATAAACTCTGAAATTCAATTTGAAACTCGTAGCAGCTCGCTGCGTACAATTGGAATCCCGTGCCTAGCTCGACCGTAACAGACTCGACGCGTTACAATAAGTGTGAATTCTCTCAATTTCGCAGCTGTCGCGTGTAGCGTGTATTTTTTACAGTGCGTGTTACAATTGACGGATTTCAAGCGTTTTATTAGAGCTTGAGTTACT